TATATTCTTCCGATTCTATTGTCGACATCCTCGGCCACACGCCCGATGAGGTAGTCAATCGGTCCGTGTGGCAATTTTTTCATCCAGATGAACTTCCTCTGGCCAGGGCGCATCACAGCCGGGGAGTGAGACTGGACAAGGCCGCTGTCTTGTCCTATTGCCGCCTGAAGAATCGCCAGGGGGAATGGGTCGGTTGCGAATGCTGCTTCTCCGTCGTCTACGATGTCCTTGTCTGCTGCACTAGCATCTATAGACATGGTATGCAGAGCCAGAGTAAGTCTTCTAACCCGTTTGGTCCTTGCGGCTCGCTGACCACAGCCAATCAGAACGTGCAGTCGAGGCTCCTATAGTGCGCAAACTGTTCGCCTCGTCACCCAAGGACCCGCGCTACCACATGTTATCGCATCTGTCTAGCAAGTTTGATCTCGGCCCCGATGATCAGACTCATGAGCCGCGAGCTGCCTTGTTCCTCAACAGGTTCACGCGAACCCTGACTGTCATGTACGCAACCAGTGGCATTGAGCAGATTATAGGTATCTCTGGAGAGGCTATGAAGGGACGCAGCTTCTATTACTGCATTGCTCCCAATTGTCTTGAAGACGCTGTCCGCTGTCTGGAGTCGGCTAAAGGAAATGACTCTATCGCTTATATGCGCTTCTTTTTTCGCGACCCTCGACAGGACGACGCACCTGATGTCTCCTCTTCTGAGAGCGAAGATGATATCATGACAGATGTCACATCCGACGATGAGTCTGAGGGTGGAGTAGGTCTCGGCGGCCATTCTACATTCAACGGTACAGCCAGGCATCCTTTAGACTCAAACCACACCACAGATAACAGTGAGGAGCGGTCTGCGTCGCGCACCAATTCTGGCGATAACCGCAATCCAAGCGACCCGCACCACGTCATGTTTGGTGGTTCTGCGCCCCGCTCATCGATATCCTCTGTCAGTTCGCCTCGTTCTGAGGTTCGCGACGATCCTATCGAACTCGAAGCTGTCATATCCTGTACTTCCGATGGGCTGGTCGTGTGTCTACGACGTGCGCGCCCCATGTTACCAGGCACAATGCCTGTTGCCCAGCCAGTACAGCAATACAATGGCATCTACGCCGCACCATGGGCAACACAACCCGTGTTCCATCCGGCTCCACAACAGATGCCTCAATATCCTTTGGGCGCCCGACATCCAGCCATGGTGCAGGCAGGACCGTCCATGGAATTCCAGAACAACTTCATGCAGAGCATTCGCGACGTCGCCGTATTTGCTTGGGCACTTACTGGCATCAACGGCAGTCTCGTCGATTATGCTCGTGGTAAACCAATAGGGGAGAGTCAGCCACCAGAGGGCTTCCCAGTCTGGAACCCTTTGCCAAACCCCGGATTTGGCAAACAACTGTCTGCAGCACCATCAGGTTATGTGTCGGGGTCCAATAGCTCGTCAAGCAATGACCCATTTGGATTCGGCGACCCAGGTCTCCGCTGAGAGACCAGCTCCGCATTTTGGCATCTAACAGACCCAACATCGACATGCGACGCGGTGTCACCAGCAGCAATGACGAGGGCGGTTTTCTCATCGACCGAGAAGTGCCACTAGGCCTTCATGCCACACGACTTTGATGACGGATGCTGTACGCAGCTTATGATTTTTATGTGAGCGATAGCGCGGAATATACCAGGGCCATATGCGGCTGTTATTACCATATGGTACGCTTTGTTGGACCACTCCTCTCTTTCTAATTCAACTACGCATAGCAGCCACTAAAAGACTAAATACTTTCGACTTTTCGTTGCTGTTTGCCTGTTTGTAATCGTTGCCATGCAGTCACACGAGCACCAGAATTACGGTCTCGCATCCATTCCGGTGAACTATCACATTCTGGGAAGCTTGGCGAATGACTGCAATTGCGGTCGTTTCGCTTCCTACTACGTCATGCGGCGAGGTGTAGGGGCAACTCAGACCCTGAGCTACCCAAAGACCACAACAACTTCTCGCAGATAATGGTCGCGGCTACTATAAGTTCCAAGAAGAGTTCTAAATGGCCACATTCCTAGATCCACCACTAGCGGGCGCACAAGACTGACAGGCTTTGTTGTTCGTTTTGGTTTCGCCCTTGCAGCAACCACATGGGGCTACAAAACCCTTGAATCGTGTTCTCTTTGTCTCGTTGCTCTTGAGGCTGACGCTACACTAACACTCGGCAAATAGAAACTCAACATGTACGCCATAAATATGGGGACTCACAATAAGAAGTACTAGGTATATGTTCCATCTTGTGCTATTCCTCTTACAATTCCGGTCGCTTGATCTGCTTCCGAGCCGTTATTTGCATCGCCACCGCAATGGTACGCTGACATGTTGCGCGTCCGATTATTGCAATCCGTTCTGACTCATTTTTCTTGGTAGGCTTCGAGGTCGCCTCTTCCTTTGGCGTTTCCTATGCCTTGCCTTGATATCCAAAGACCACTGTAATCTTCTCGAAAGCCAACACTTCTGGCATGGCCTCCCCAACACGTCGGATACCCTTCTGGGCTTCTGTATCTGTGGTTTGCTCTTTAACGTTTGTTGTTCTCCCATCCATATGCTTTGCGCAGGATGATTTCGATCTCAACAGTAGTAGCCCTACTGCATCGTCGACCCCAGCAAATAATTCAAGCTCGACAAGCTCTGCAGCTGTACAGACACACACCATTTCAGTCGGCCTAGCAGACCACAAATTCAGACCTGAATCAACAAACGCTAACATTGGCGATGTAAGTCATCTTCTGCAGGCGACCAGGAAGAAGCTCTCGTACTTATCGTTCCTGCCAGCAACCCAACAAATACATTGGAGCCCTACTGACATCTTAAAGACGATAGAATTTGCCTTTTACCCTCTAAACCATAGCGTCGTGCGCGCGGAATACGGCTTCCCATGCATCCCCTACGAAATGATTGGGCAAGGCAAAACTGGTTTCTTCAGCGGGTTTAAGCCCGTCGACTCTGTCCTTACCTCCCCGCCAACCTACAGCATTGAGATCGAAAACACCGACCCCATATTCTTCTACTGTTCAGTTGTAGGTTCTTGTATAAATTACGGCATGGTCGGTGTTATCAATCCGAACACAACGACCAGTGTCGCTCGGCAACATCAGCTAGCGCTTGATAGCAGCTACATGCTCAACCCTGGCGAACCATTTCCACCGGAGAGTCCAGAGTCGAGTAATACACCCATTAGTTCAGGGACAGCAGGACTCAGTGATGGCACCAGCAGCGAGAAGGAAGGCCTTTCGACTGGTGCCATTGCAGGGATTACCATAGCATGCTCTTCCGTTGTCATCATCGCAGCCTTGCTTTTCTTCTTCTGGGGCCGCACAAAGGGCCTAAGAGTCAAAGTCGATCAAAACACAGGAGCGGTACGCCAAGGCCCAAACAACAGGAGTCTGCCAGCAATCTTGGAAACCGGTCACACGCATCCTGCCATCCTCCGTGGGAACGAAGTAGGGGGTGTCTATCACCAATACCAACGAACGCCTCTTTTGTCGCCACCCATTGTAGATTCTGCATACCAACAATACAGCTACAATCAGTACAATAATGCACCAAGTTATAGTACGCCAGTACCATCGTACTTTCACCCGCCTCCGCATTCTACTCATGCACCTTCTCCTCTACCTCATCCGCCGCCGCCATCATCTTTGCAACAGGATCTACAGCAACAGCAGAATGCGTACAAATACGATATCAACAACCCTGCCGGTCATCCCGGTCAAACAATTCCTCCTATACAACGACAACCCCCACCTAGCTTCCACCACGCATCCTCCCAACGCTCCCTAGGTGGTGCATTTGAACTCTCACCTACAGGAGATTATCCAGCAACTCTTCAAAACAATCACGTCAATCCCTCTCACATTGGCAACAACGCCAACGCCGACAGCCCTGACATCATATCTCCATGTCCTTCCCATGCGCACCGTATAGCATCAACACCACACGTTCTTGCTGCCGCCGCCACTGCTGCTACCAACGAGGTAGAAGAAGCGATACCAAACTACTATGAGACCGTATACAGACATAGTCCCAAACATATCAACGGGGGACGGATTGGACCTACAGAAATAGACGGGAGGGCTGTGACAGGGGAGATTGCACCTGCGAGAATGATAGAGGCAAAGTGGGAGGAAGTTGGCGAAAAGACAGTAGGCTGAGGAGTGGTTGTTTGCAGGGGGCAGATGGTTTTCGTCTGTCTTATTCGTTCTCTTTCGATATTCGGTTTTGTATTGGGATTTCTATTGCTCTTAATCTATGTCTCCTTTTGTGGTGTGGAAGCACACTTCGTTTGAGGTTTAATTGAGTATGATATAGATGGATAGTAGCCGAATGGATGTATATACACTGGAGAAGTTTATTGTCAAAGACTTCATCATGTAATGTATTCTAGCTCCAAATCCCTCGGTACCCTGCCTGGTCAATGGGCGTCATGTTCGACTGTCATAACACACCTATAGATGCAACATAAAGGGACCAGTGACTGTTTGATGATAGTATTCACATGTGAATTCTTGTTTTCATTTCATCTCGGCTAAACACAGACGCTCAGCAATAGAGGACGCGGCTTCAAGACTCGGCTTCAGGCCGCGCAGTAGAGAAGAACAGGGCTGCCCGTCTTCTCAACTTCCATCTCTTTCATCCCTGGGACGCTCAGCGTGAGAGCCAATCAGCGCCACACCAGCTCCATCCGTACGTAGACCGGGAGGCTAACTTGCGTGCAATAGAGAGCTCATTGGAAGTATCCCGCTTTTTTGAAATCTCCATCAAATCGATATGAAGTAAGCCGACCGAACACTTCAAGTCGTTGGAAGAAAAGGATAAGAACAGAAGGAAATAGAAAAGTGAGAAAACAAAGGATCGTTCGACTTGTAATCATTACATGTTGTTACACTCCAAAGATAGAAAGAAAGAACCGCGGGTCGCCCTGCGGCCCGCGAACTGATTCTGAACAGGAGCAGGGTATCGTGAATCATGTCGCTGATGTCGAAGTAGAAGTAGTCGCCATAGTAGGCGCGACGGATACTTCAGACGGCTTCGCTTCCTCTGCAACGGGTGGGAGGATCGCTTCGACAGCCTTGGGAGGAGGTGAGTTCGTATTGGGCAGGCTAGCCGTCGATAACGTTGGCGAGCTTGTCGATTGCGAATTTAGGGGCGGCGTAGCGTTCGAGCCAGTCGACTGTGTTTGCGCCAGCTTGGTTTTTCGGTTGCGGTTGGTGTAGTCACTTAGACTAAGCTTCTTGCGCGCTGGCGCAGGCTTGACAGCGTTGTTTACAGCAGGCGAGAAGGGCGATGCAATAATGGAGGCGCCCGGTGATTGCGCGACTGTGCTTTCGTTGAGAATAGAAGAAGTCGATCCAGGGGTGACAGCGCGGTTGTTGCTGGCGTTGACCAAATCGAGCTTCGCAGGCATCTCAACATGAAGATCCACAGGCTTTGGTGTCAGGCCGGTCGTAGATTTCGGAGATGGTTCAGCTGGCGTCGAAGCTGACCACGGAGGGTCGAGGGGTTGTATTGACGGTTGAGGAGCCTCCTTTGGAGCTTCCTTGGGAGGTTCCGGAGCAGATACCTCAGCTGGCTCTTCTTGTTTCGGTTCGGAGATTTTGACGGTTGTATCCTCAGAGTCAGTCATCTCTACGTCCACTGGAGGCTGCGGCATAGGCTCCTTTGCAGGTGTGAGCTCTTTGTGTCTTGTATCAGGTGCAGGCTCTGTAGAGATATCCATCGCAGAAGGCTCCTCAAGGGGTGGAGATGGTGGTAGCGGCGACGGCTTATTTGACGACACATCCTTCAAAGCTGGCGATTTGGCTTCCATCTTGACCGACGTGGATCGCATTCGCTCGCGTTGTAGTTTGTCCTCTTGCGCCTGCTGCAGAAGCTTACGTTTAAAGGATAGCGGGGGCTTCATTTGACGTGGCCTGATGCATGCTTGTGACTTTACATCGTTATCTTCAACTGTCTGCGTCGACGAGTCGACGTAGACGGGCTTTGGACGGGGCGCAGGACGGCCGTTGGTCTTTGTAGAGCTCCCCGATGTTTTGCGTGCTACACCGTGACTATGTTCGCGATGGCGAGCCGAGGGCGAAGGTTCAGGGTGTCCGAGTCGTCTCTGAGTATCTGCATTAGCAACAGGAATCGGGCAAGAGGACAAGCGTCTTACCGAGGAAGAGATGCTCGGAGTATTCAGATTCGATCCAGCACTGGTTCGTTTCCTCTTGCCCTTGTGCTCATCGTGATCAAGCTTCTGGAACAAAAGTTCTTGATGCTGGATCTTCCTCTTTTCGCGCTCAGAGAGTTTATCGCCTTCCAAGGACGAGAAGTGGGTTGCTGGTGTAATGTCGCGGCTGCTCGACTTGTGCGAGCCAGACGTAGAGCGAGCGTCCATTTGGTCTTCGTCGATTGTATCACGGTTGGCAGTTTCGCTACCAGCACGACTGTTGGTTGCGTGACCCGTACTCATAGGAGAAACCTGAGACTTTTTGACCTTTTTGCCTTTGGTCTTCAGCGTGGGTTGCTCTGTAGTCGTGTTGCGACGAGCGCGCTCTAGAAGGCACTCGTTGCCGTTGGATGTGTCGCAAGCGCAGCCTCCGAAGTTAGCTAAGACGCAAGAAACCCAAGGCTGTATTCTCTTGAATCCTTCTTTGGCGCCGTTGGTGACGACTCTGGCAAGCTGCTTTTGTACTTCGGAATCAATGTCCCAGCCAACTGTGAGTTCCTCACCCGGGCTGATCTCGCGCGTCGCTAAGAAGCAGAAGTGGTAGTCGTTGCTGGAGTCAATCAAAATCTTCATAGACATGTTCGGGTTGCAACTTCTTCGTGAGTATCGGAGAATGTTGCCTTCCCGACGGGTGTCAATGTATATTGGTAGGTGAGGAGGAAAGAAGACGAAGGGTTCGGGGTGTCGGAGCAAGTCCCATCTGTTGGATGCATCGGAATAGTAGTCTGCCTTTCGTCCGATGAGACCTTTGAGCTCTCCAACGTAGCCACCGTCTGGTACTGGGGTCTCGGCGGTAATGAAGTGCCATTGTGGGTGCAGGCCATGCGCTAGTATACCCGAGTCGACATCTGTCTGTTTCACGATCTCTGGCGCAGTTGACGTTTCGAGTTCCTGAATAGTAATATCAATGCGTGAGAAAATGTCTTGTGGTTTCTTCCCTCCACTTGCTTCGGCAAGGGCTTCCGGGTCTTGGAGCCACATAGCTATGTCGTTTGCGACATCGATGCGGGTGTACGAGTTGGAATCAGCTGAGGGTGGTTCGGGTTGTCGATAGAGGTGCATGAACTCGGACGAGTAGTCCTCGATAGGAGCCTCTGGGTTCGTGGGTGATTTGACAGGACTGTGGCCATTGAGCATAACCGAGCCGCCTCGTTTTCGTGATGTTGGCACGAGAGCTGGCGCTTGGCTAACAACGCCCACGGATCCAGAAGGACGATGGCTCGTCTTGGGACGCTTGTTGGGCGGTGGCTGGTCTCGTGGGCTACCACTCTTCCGATCAGGGGTGTATTGAAGGTCCCCGTTAGTTTGCATTGGCCAGCCATTAGATTGTACGGGGCCGTGGGTATCCTTGGTTCGCTTCTTAGGGTTCTTGGTTGATGCTTTCGGTCTGCCTTTGCGCTCGCCGATGCTATGTACTTCTCTTCGGAGGCGTTGCTTCTCAGAAGCGCTTTTTGAGTCGATGGCTCGCGGGAGACAGTCTGCGCACTCGTGTACATCGGGAACGTGTTGGGCAGATTCGTAGTAACAAACAATGTGCTGCCACGTGTCGCACTTCTCGCACAATACCGTGTTGCCATCGTCATCGGAGTATCCACAGATGCACTTTATCGTGGATGACTCTTCTTCCTCGATGGTGGCTTCTAGTGGAGGCGAGGCGGTCGCGAAGGTGGGTGGTGGTGGGCCAGCGTAGAGGGCGAGAGGAGCCGGCTGATGATCAGCATACGCCTGAATCGACGAGACGTCTGTCATAATCTGGCAGTGAGGCTCGCTTGTATGTGGTGTCATGTAGTGGGTGCTCAAGCTCTGTATTCTTGGGATCGCATGACGCCCAACGCGCGACCAGGAAGAGCAGGGCGAGCGACGGCGACTCGAGACGGATCAAGTGACCGCCGTCAACGGACAGCCGGACGTTGTGACGATTCGTCTAGCTAAGAGAGGTCGTGGCTAAGGGGAAGAGGGTTGCGTGGCCGGTTGCAGCGAGTGCGGACCGGGGGCAGGATGGCGACGGGGGGCTCGAAACGTCACTCTGGGAGCGTGACGGGAAGCCTATCATGAAGAGATGGTACTGGGACCGTGTGTGTTCGATTGCATGTAATGCGCCGGTCGGTGAGGCAGGGTGGTGAGGGTCGAGGCTCGAGGCGGCTTCGGAGGGAGGAGATGGCTGAAGGCTGCTGTGACAAAGGAAGCGGCGCGCGCAATCAAAGGCGTCGGCGTCGACAGTCGAGGCGACAGCGAGGTCAGTGTTGCAGATGGCGACGGTACGGCAAGGGCGGCGTCAGGCGGTATGGGAGTCAGAATGGCAGTGGAGAATGGAGCGTGCGAATGTCCTGAGAATGAATGGCCCCAACTCTCGCGAGCGAGAAGGGCTTAGCTCGCGGGGTCCGTGCACCACCAAGGACATGGACAGGAGTGAACGCTAGATGTAATTAGTCAACGAGGGGTTACAGCAAGTGCGAGATCAAATTCGGGCGCGTGTCGCCATGCTGGCGCCTTCCAAGGCGCAGCCCAGACGGACATGCGGTGGCTGGGGACATGCGAGCGAAGCCTTGAGCTGGCGTTCATCGCGTCTGAACAGGGAGTGGTATGAGCTTCAGCATCGACGGCATCAAGAGGATAATGAGAATGCAGCCGAGCCAGGCCCGATGGGGATAGCGCCATTCAGAATGCAGTCGCGCGCAGATCAAGTTCGGGGGGCCGAGCGCCGTCCCAAAGCTGCGATGAAATGGAGGCCCAAAGCCGTTGCTCGAAGCGCCTTCCCTCCCTCCCTCTCTCTCTGTCTCTTCCACCTGCGCGCTGCCTTCGCAGAAACCCGTCGCTTCTCGTCGCGCGTTGTGGCGACCGAAGGCGCGAGCGACTCGTCGGGGCAGGCGCGCCGGGGCGAATAAACAACGATAAGCTGCTGCCCCGCCCAGAACGCTGATGAAACATTGGATTGAACTTCGCCACCCAAACGTCATCCAACATGCAGCCGGGTGGGTACCCACCAGCACCGTGGCCTCATCGCGAGCTCTATGTATATCCCTCGACACCGAGCCCGTATCTTGCTTGCGCCCATGGAATCCCACCCTCCTGCCGCCCTGTGTCCTCCGGCTCCGCACCTGCTCTTGCTCCTGTACCTGCGTCGCATGTTTGGTACAAGCCAAACAAGCGGCTGAATGTCAACAAACATCAGCCTACCCATTACAAGACCACCGCAGCTTTAGACCCCAACAACATGTAGAACTCTTCCACACAGCACCAGGCTGGTCTATACCTACGACGATCCTCAATTAACGTTTCCCGCCGCTTCGTCTATTCTACCGTAGTCTGTCCAGCCGCCATATATCCCACGAATAGGCGTGATATCATGTGCCGTAGGTAATATACCACCCGCGCACTATCCAAGCAATAGAATCCTCCTGGATATATCGCCTGTCGTCAACATGTCCTGCGGGATCGTCAGGGACGACTTGTCCCTTCCTCACTTTCCCCGATGGCTATACTTGTTGGCCTTCTCACCATCTCACTGACTCTTCTCTTCTCTACCGCAACGGTCGTTCCCACCCCACAATCAATTGGATCCGATTTGTCAATCATCACACACAATGACCTGTATGGCAACCTCACAACTCGGCATGCAGCAAGCATTTTGCTGAGCACATCGTTCAACTACTCTGTTGCGACCTCAAAGTGCGCTGCTTTAGGCACAAAACTGTGGGACCCCCAACGCCATCTCGAGGACTTGACTTTCCTCCGGTACTTAGACTATGCGAACGCCGCCTATAAGGCTGGTGTCTACTGGGTCAGCAGCAATTCGACGACGAACTGCACAGCAGTTACTGCGCATGCTGAACTGGCATATTATCCTTGCAAAACCTACTTACCAGTACTTTGTTTCAATGCAGGAAACGATCGGGATCGTCAGGTAGCAATAGCGACTAACAATGCAAGAATCATAGGTCTTCGCGAACGATCCTCTTCGTCTTTCCGTTTCCTCGGCATCACATACGCTTCGATCCCAGCTCGTTTCGCCCACTCGACGTATTATCCTCCCCCACCTGGATCCAACATCACCGCACTCGATTACAGCCCGCAGTGTATACAGTCTGGATGTGGGGTTCAAGGGACCCCGGATTGCGCCGAAGATTGCCTCACGCTCAATATATGGACGCCGCATCTCCCCAATGTTGATAATGCAACGCGTAAGGGGAAAGCTGTTATGGTATGGATACATGGCGGAGGCTTTACAGGAGGAGCAGCTAGCGATACTACATTCGACGGTAGCGCCATGGCCTCTCGGGGAGACGTTGTTCTGGTGACCATAAACTATCGATTGTCTACTTTGGGTTTTCTAGCACTTAGCAACACTTCGTTAACAGGAAACTATGGGCTTCATGATCAGAGCGTTGCGCTTGATTGGCTTCGCGCGCACGTTGAGGACTTTGGAGGTGATAAGGACAGAATTACTGTTTTCGGGCAGAGTGCAGGAGCGGCATCGGTTAGAGCTCTGCTTGCATCACCACAAGCGCGAAACAAGGTCTGCGGAGCGATTATGATGAGCACGCCACAAGGCGTAGAATACGCCTCCACTTTCTCCAGGTACCTAACCATAGAAGAAGCTACAAACCGAACCGCGGCAGCCATCGCTGAAGTAGGGTGTACGCCATTGAAGGGTGAAGACACAGTCGCCTGCCTACGGAAAGCAGATCCTCTTGCCTTGGTAGGCATTAGAAACGTTTCACAGCCGTCCGGAACTGTTGCAAGGTCAGTTATCCACTCATATTCAAGAATGAGAGATTTCAGATCACATCTCGTGTTTATTGGATGGTCGTTTGATATTCCTCTCCCTCTCAGTCTTATGGAGTAACTCTAGGCTTAGATATGGATTTTTTGTTTCCCACACCAACTCCATCAAACACCTCTAGGCTCTACCGAGAATTCTCGCCTATCGCTCGCATTCTCTCAGAACACATCCTACCTCTTTCATGACTCTGCACTACCTTTCACTTCGAACACCTATCAACTGGAAACCGTCAATCAAACATGATTGTACTTTTCTTTGAGCTGAGAAACAGACGGAGCTCCGATCTAATAGACTTTTAGATACCCCGTGGTCGACGGCATATTTTTGACGAACGCAACCCTTCCTCTCGGTCCAACAGCACCAAGATTCAATATACCCATAATGTCTGGAATTATGCGTGACGATGGATCACCTTTCACCTCGTATCCTACTTGGTCTAATGTATCTGCTGTACTATCCTCGCAAGGCTTTCCTGCCTCGGCTATCCTTTCTTCGAACTCGTTCCCGTTCCCTGAAGGTGCGAATAGCACTCTACGCATCTTCAATCTTACGTCCCGGGTAGCCACGGATGTGATGTTCAGGTGTCTAGCCCAAAGCACAGCGTATACTGCTGCAAAGAACGGGGTGTTCAAGAGTGTGTATAGCTACGAGTTTGATAGGGCATATCAGATTGAAGACTGGAGTCCTAATCCTCCAGCCTGTGAAGCGCCAGTCACAGAAGTGTATCCGTTTGGTGATCCTAATGCGCCCTGTGGGTTATTCAGCTCTAGGAGTATCTTTTGACGTAAAAAACATTGCTGACTCAATCGCAACGTAGTTTACAAATGCCATTCCGGTGAGCTGCTTTCCGTCTTCGGCAACACTATCCCTCAAGGGCGACCGCTGCGGGACGACGACGACATCCCATTCAGCCAGTTCATTGTAGACACCTGGACGGCTTTTGCACGAACGGGTAATCCGACGCCTGACGAAGCATTCTTGATGGCACGAGGTTTTACGAACACAAGCAAGATGGTAAAGACTACGGGTATCTGGGAACCGGTCAATGCGGCGAAGCCAATGCTGAAGGTGTTGGATGTACGAGGAAGAGGTAAAATGGAGGAATTTAGAGAAGGAGCACAATGCGAAGTGCTTGGACAGAGGTTGGATTATTACGATTCATAAGACGTAAATCATTGGGAAAGAAGCTAGGTCAATTCTGTTCGCTGAACACTACGCGAGCAAAGGAATATCTGATACCTGCAAGTCTGGGTTCCTACTTTTCGGTCCGCTATTCGGTGTCTCGTTTCGACACTAGAGTCCATTTCCACTGCATCCGTAGGTTCGGGTGGTCTTGTATATCGCCATCATCGTTCCCTACTTGCTCAATGGTCTCATCCTCTACCCCCTCGTCCACATCCTTTTCATAGATCTTAGCTTGACTCCCTGTCGCTAGCAATGCCTTCGACTCGGCACTCCCTCGTCCTTCTTCCAACAAACACCCATGCGCGTAACCTGTTTTGATGTTTTCCATGCTGTTAGCTGTAACAGGCTCCTAAATTCCTGGATTAGCGCCGCACACTCAAGGTGTCTGTCTTGGACATTCTTACCGGATGGTGACTAGTCTCTGTAAGAGGTAAGGAAGAAGGATATGATGATTCTCGCTGCCACTCTGCAATGTTGAGGAGGAGGGATTCATACAGCTGTTTCCATCGGCGTTGTGGTGGGGGTGTTTGATTTGCCATTATGGTGGGTGCAAGTGTAGGTGTATGAGTGTGACGGCAAGTCAAGTACGAGGGAAGGAGAAATGCGAGTATTTAGGTTTTATCACTTCTTCTTGTTTCGAACTGGGTAGCCAATCAAGTCGATCTGAAAGGATACTGGAGTTAATGGATCGTAAAGTAGATATAAGTAAGTATGTTGGCTCTTCTCGTCTTTCCTTGTCAGTGCTATTTTTCAGTGTGAATACGTCGGCAAGGTTGGTTCGGCAGATCCATTAAGTCAGGATTCAGTGAGCTCAGTCCTATATATGCAAAAGCCAGTTAATGAAGGAACGCGGCGCAGCAACAGCAACAGGCAGCGAGCGCTCCATCGTGCAACGTCGTACATGGCGTTGTCCAATCCGATGTTCGGGGGTAAGCCCTGCGCCGCATCTCGATTTAGACAAAGGGTTGTCCTTTGTGCCCTTCATAGAAGCCTCACCAATCGGATATTTCTCATGCAGAACGCTGATAAGCGGGCATGAACCTCGTATGTAGTAAGAATTGCGACGATGTGTCCGCGGAGCATGACTCTGGTAGTCTGGACTATTCGAGCAGACTGTAGATGATGCGTCGCTCTTGCATATAAGGAATCTTGGAAGAAGCAATCATATGTGCAGATGATCGATTCAGGCACCTAGTACGACGATTTGTGTGTACAATCCAGACCCGAGAAACAAGGTCTGTTTGGCATGTACCACAGGATACAGTGTCAATATGAGAGATAAGCAATGATAAATGTTTCTTTCTTGAGTTTCTACTTCTATCCACAAATACTGTGCAGGCAAGACTAATGCTTCGCCGGTCTACCAATGTGTACGGTGCAGTGGATATCACTTAGGAAGCCTCCAAATGCCGTGTCGTCGTGCTCTCATCCCTCATTCCGTCATCGAGACGTATTCGTCTTTCCGTTTGATTGACCTCAATGCAGCCCCATGGCGCAATACCAATTGTGTCGTATCTAGATCTAGCGACCACGGTTTTTTCCACTCCCAAGCTACCAATGCTTCTGAATAAAAGTATCCTACAGTTCCTCTTGCACTTTTTTGACTTCTTCCCATAGCTGCTGCGCGTTCTCAGCCCTCAACTGTAAAATGTCAGTTCCGTACATGTATTAAGGCTAGATAATATTCATACCTTTAGTAAGTGCATCTCCAGCTCGCCCTCGAGATTGGGCGAGTTGAAGAGTAACCGCGTGTCCTTCGGTTTCTCGCCCTGTGCATCGCCGCCGAATACCATGTTACTTGTGACGGCAGCGTTGAGCAGCAGTCGATGGGTGCCTTCTGCGCGTAGGACGAAACGAGCCTTCTTGGGTTCGTCAATTGTGATGTTGAGCTTGAATGTTCCTACGCCACGCTCTTTCCACCCTCGATTCGATCCTTCGCCAGCCATAGTGTAAAGCTTTGCGCGGCCGGTCCAAATAGTCTCTTCGCCCTCTTCACCGGTCTCATGTGCTACAAAATGGTCAGCATTGTAATTCAGATGAACAGAAATTGACATACGCTGTTGTGAAAGGAGTGGCTGACTCGAATGTCGCTCTTCTTTGTCTGTGGCCTTCTCTGGGTCGTCATCATCATCGTCTTCGTCATCAGATGGTTCGCCGATTGCGGCTGCACCAAAAGGCTTCTCTTTCTCCTTGAGACCCTTAATCTCCAAGCTACCACCGGGGGCAGCAAAAGAGCCTATGGGCTTGGCTGCACTGAAGCCCCCAAAACCACCGCCTAGAGATCCTCCAAAAGAGCTGCCACCAAATCCGGAAGTACTTGAGCTTCCAAGCGCCCCGAAGCCACCACTTGAAGATATTGAAGGAGCTGCACTTCCCGCAAAAGAGGACAATTTGCCCGCGCTCGCCCCACCGAACGGCGAACTAGCATTTGGCTTGGAAGCAGCCACGCCCCCAAATGGCGACGTAGATGAGGCGGCAAAGCCACTGAAACCAGATCCTTTGAACTTTTCGTCTGATGTTTGAGGTAATGACTCGGCTTTATCGGAAGCCTTTGGTTCTTGAGGTTTCGGTGCCATGGCGGCAAAAGGTGATACGGCGGAAGAATTGGCAAACCCACCGGTTAGCGATGTCTGGGTGGAGTGTCAGTATGTGTCAATCACGTAGCGTTAGCCACCATACCTTGGTTTTAGATTCTGTTGCATCAGTGGTAGGTTGAACTTCCTCCTTGTCTCGCAATCGCTTAGAGTCTCGCTCATCGCCCGCCGACTTTTCTGCAGGTTTTCCATTGGTAGATGCACCTTCCGAAGCTTCTGCGCTAGCTTCGGTATCCTTCTCAACCTGATCGCGTGTCCGCTTGTTCTTGGGGCTTGTCCCGGCTCCTGAAGCTTTGTCGGCCGTAGTTGTCGTGGAGGCATTCTTGTTTGGCGATGTCATTTGGTCGTCTCCATCGTTCTCTTTGATGCTTGTGATAGTACTGGGAGAAGGCTTTCTAGGCGCAGCAGCCTCCAGGTCGGCTGTAATATCCCTTGACCTTTTGCGCGCATGCCGTTCAACCTTCTTTTCCGGGTGCTTGTCTACTTCTGCTTCATCCTCAAAGTCCTCGCGGCTGCGCTTTCGTCGTAACCGACCGCGCTCACTATCTGAGCCAGAAGCGCTGTGTTCGCCTACTTTGGCGCTACCGTTGGGTGCATCGTGCATGCGCCGATCGGAACTCGCGGTGGGATCTGATGTGGCCTGCGCATCGATCTGTGTATCCTTGAGCTTTTCCCTCACATTCTTGCCTTCGCTGTCGCTGCTCTTATCGCTCCGCGCTGGAGAAGTGGGCGCAGCTTTGGTGGTGTCTTCAGAGGCTGTAGCAGCTGTGGCTGTGGCCTGCGGTTTCTCTGGCGCGTCTGTCATAGTGGTGGATGTGTCGTGTTCCAGACGCGGGGGATGTCAAGGTTGCGCTTCGCGGGTAGCAGAGTAGGGTACCTAGGGAGAAGGGCCGGAGATGCTGGCCTATGAGAAGCGTTTCTCGGTCGGTTGCTGGGCTGCGTATGTAGTTTCGGGGTGTGAATTGAAGCAGCGTGAGCTTGAATACGGACAATAGCAACTAAGCTCCGTGGTGAAGACCAAGTTGCGGTGGGCGACGGGGACAACAGCGCGGAGGTGGTGTGTCGGCAAGGCTAGTGGCGAGCTGACTGGCCGACAATGCGATGTGAAGGCGCTTTGTCCCGTAAGATAGGGAAACGAGGTCGGAGAATGGGTGTGGCTATGAGCTGCAGGCTTGGATCGTTCAACGGAAGAGAGCAGAGCAGATGGGCCTTGTGGTTAGTGGAGTCGGTCAATGCGCTCTAGTACCAAATTTCCACTACAATGCGCCGAATGCAACACTGTTTACTAGTAATTACACCGTCGAGTCGAGAACGCAACAGGAACGAGAGAAGTGCAGAAAGGGCGCGCCGTGTGTGGTGAATGGCTAACTGGGTGCAAAGTGCTGGCGCTTCTGTCAGTCGTGGTCGAGTGTGTTGTCGCTGCAAAGACCAATGACGAAGTGGGGAAGACACACGGCTAAACATGAACACGGGTAGCAGCAACTTGTGCGTCTACCGCTACTTGGGAACGTACGTTGAGCTTATTTTCATGTCTGTCTCGAAATGCATCTGACATGTTGCATTCGTTGTATTGGAGTAAATATGCAAAAGATATGAATAGCCATTTCCACAGCTTGTCCGAAACGCCAGATAGTGCTGTACCATGCCCCGATACTTTTACATGCATAACATCTCAGCACTAGCTGATGAAGCAGAGGCAGCCTAGAGCCACGTAAAACACAAACAAGGGGTATACTGCGATGCCGACACGGTTCCTCACCACGCCCGACCCGCCCATGATGCTCACGCCTGCTGCCAACGACCAGGCGATGAGGACAAGGTAGACGGGGATGCGCACGATCATGGGTATGCCAACAGCACTGAGGATGGAGGCGATTACGAGCGGGAAGAGGGTGTAGCCGATGATGGAGATGGACTGGAAGAAGGCACTGGAGGGCATTAGTATAGGAAGGGTGTGGGATTGCAGAGAGGATATACATGTTGCCCCCGAGTAGCTTGATCTGCAGCGTCACGACTGCCTCGCCTATCCAGACCATGGCGAAGACGCCGGAAAAGACGAGGTCTTTCTGGTCGCCCTTTGCGCCCCACGAGAGGAACAGACTGAGCAGCAGGCAGAAGATGAGTGGGCCCCAGAGATCCCAGTCGCGCAAGCCCTCGCTCATGCCGCCCTGGAGGATGACATCTGCATCTGGCCATCGCCCTGCAATGTTCCTGAGGCCGCCGCCAAAGCCGTCGGCTTCACCGCGCTCTGCTGCGCCAATGCCTCCGCCGCGCTGCATGATGCCGCCGAGCAGGTACTTGGGGTACAGGACCTGCTTCATCTTCTCCCAGATGGCGAAGATGTCGCGCGACAGCGTGTCCCATACCGTCTCGTCGATGGTGTTGGTGGGCGCGCGGCGGTCTTCGCCTGGAATGCTCGATGTCAGGTAGGATTGCGTCTGCGCAGCGCCGCGCTGCATGTTGCCCGTCAGCGGCGCGCGGTCCGACGTGCCCTGAAGAGGATCGTCGAGGTCATCGAGGGTAGCTGGTGGTGGTTAGCTCGTCGTCCATGGCCTCTGGTAGATGCATGCATGCGACACACCATCGTCGGGGTCAATCAGGTCACGCTCCACGGCGTCGTCGTCGTAGGGGTTGCCGGTCGTTGCGGCACTTGGCATCATTGCCGCCATGTTGGGCTCGAGAAAAAACCCTGCGTTCACGGGTCGCGGGCTAATTCTCCAATCGGCAGGTATCGTGGGTTGTTGGAGAGGCTCTGCTGTCCTCAATGCAACGCGCAAGCTCTCGGGAACCTCCATTCTGAGGGTGCGCTACTCGACTCGGCTAGCATCCCGCCGACAGGGAAAGCTTGACCGAGTTAGCGTGCAGGCCTTCACTGACTGGCGTCACTCCCATCTATTTAGCTCACGAGCCATGCATACTGCCCCTGCGCCCGTTTCGCCATATTCCCCAGGCTGTATATATACTACTAACCACCACCGTCCGCCCTGATCCCATACCAGGAACAATTTCTACATCATGACCGACCCCGTGCTGAACGACATCTCCCACAGGCGCTTCAACATCCTACGAGGAAGCTGGATACTAGTTTCTCCGCACCGCACAAAGCGACCATGGCAGTAAGCATCTTGATGGCACTGATTACTCGACAGTCCACTGAAAACCTACAGAGGCATGCAGGAGTCTCCGTCCAAGACGACCCTCCCAGAATATGACCCAGAGGTATCCCTTCGCCCGGACTCTATCTTTATCCAATGCCAACACTAACCGTCCACAGTGCTATCTGTGCCCCTCAAACACGCGGGCAAATGGCGAACACAACCCCAAATTCGACAAAACTTTTGTCTTTGTCAACGACTACAGTGCCGTCATGGAAGAGCAGCAAGAGTATGACCCCAGTAGCAAGGACGGATCGCTCGCTTCTAGATTACTCCGCGCCGAGGCCGTTACTGGAAAGTGCTATGTTATCTGCTTTTCCCCTTCTCATAATCTCACTCTTGCCGATATGTCGCCGGCGCAGATCGTTCCTATAATAGAGACCTGGACGAACATCTACGTTGCACATCTGGATCCCAAGTCGCCACTGGCCAAGCTTGCATCCGCTACTACTCTCCCGCCCCTATCACAGGGCACTCTTGCAGTTCCGAATGCTCAGTATCGGTACATGCAGATTTTCGAGAACAAAGGCACAGCAATGGGCTGCTCAAATCCCCACCCGCACGGACAGGTCTGGACTACCACGTCCCTACCAGAAGAGCCTGCGTTGGAACTTGTACAGCTGAGTAAATACCGCAAAGAGCAAGGAGGCGCTCACATGCTCGTTGATTATGCCGAGTTGGAATCGAAAGAGAAGACCCGTACTGTTTTTGAGAACGAGAGCTTCTGGGCGGGTGTGCCTTACTGGGCAGTGTGGCCGTTTGAGATCATGGTCGTTCCTAAGCAGCACAAGCGGTCGCTGGTCGACTTTACCAAAGACGAGCGAGCACAGCTGGCAGAGTGTATAGCAGAGATTACGAGGCGCTACGACAACCTCTTTGAGACTCAGTTCCCTTACAGTAAGTCAACTACAGTTGGACTCGCAACACAGTGGCTAACAAAATCAAGGCATGGGTCTTCACCAGGCTCCTCTCAGTGGCACAGCTGATGAGATTGAGTCCAGCCATTTCCACATCCACTTCTACCCTCCGCTCCTGCGAAGTGCCACAGTCCGCAAATTCCAAGTTGGCTACGAGATGATGGCCGAGCCTCAGCGTGACATCACCCCAGAGCAGGCTGCAGAGCGTCTTAGGGCATGTGATGGAGAGCTTTACCGGAAGAAGCTCGAATCGGCCCCAGCCACCAACGGCGTAAATGGCGTAAACGGCGTGAACGGTGTCAATGGTGTTAACGGTGTCAACGGCGTGCACTAGAATATCATTTGCTAACTTATTCACTTTGCGTAAGAAGTTTCACATGCACATAAGCAGTTGAGGAACTCTTAGCCTGGTAGCTCATACGCTCACTGCACGCATATTAGAGACGGCGGGAGAGGTGATACCCAAGAAGAAAGCGATAAACGATACATGATAAACGTTGAGGGCTGCATATAGCGGGGCGCTGCAACGGCGTTTACAGGAAGACAGTACATTTCATAGGTTTTCAATACAAATTCATGCATAATCTTGTGAGCGACAGCTGTGGATGGAGTGTCCATGTGTGCAAGTCCCATGTGATGTATCCTTCGGGAAACGTCATAGGGCAGGTGCCCCACTACGAACTTGATCTCGACCCCGCTACCAGCCAGCAAGGCCCCAAGCTTCTCTCCAACTAGTCCACCACAACCACCTACATCTCTATACACCCTTTACAAACTACACGTATTACAGTAAGAAGCGCCCGATACCTACTGCCTGGAACAGCGAAATGGAGAGAGCTAATGCTTGTAATATAGACCAAAATGCCAGGAGCCAAGTACACCCAGACCTACCAAAAGGTCAGCGCCATGGGCGAGAAGCTCAAGGCGGCTGGCAAGCAGGGTCCTAGCAATGACGAACAGCTAAAGGTACGTCCTTCTTTTCTTTTGTTTCGGCTTTCCTGTTCTAGCCTAGTGTACTACTTGACTCCAGTTCAGATGCTAACTCTTGTGCAATTATAGTTGTACGCGTACGCCAAGGTAGCAGAGGGCAAAGACATCAACGACGCCAAGAAGCCTGGCATGTTTGATCTTGCTGTATGTTCTCGCATGCCTTCTCTACTCCTCCGTATCCTCCGTCGTGATATACCGCCTACATACCATTTCCCATACCCGCACTCACCGGGCAACTTCGAACAGCCATGTAGCGACACAAACTGACAGCATGATTAGGGCAAGGCCAAGTACAACAAGTGGAAGGAGGTCGTCGACGCCGGAACTACGCAGAAGCAGGCCGAGGACGAGTACGTCAAGGCCGCCGAGGAGATACTGGCCAAGCACGACAAATAAGCGTCGGGTGATCGGAGAGACACTCGTGAGACTTTAGTATCACCATGGCTGTGTTATGCTATATATAATCTTGGAAAGTACAAGGACAACAAATGCTTCCATCAACGTGCTCGTATGGTCAGTGTACTAGTACGCTGCTAGCGAAATTGCCCAAGAATCTGCACATACTCTACACGGCGGTTGCAATAGTGCTGTTATCAACGCCCATAGCCGCCCCAAGCGTGCCCATTCCTATCCGGTTCCAGATATTGCATGGTGGCACACCAAGGCTTCTCTTCATTATTGTAAGGACGAAGCGGCAGATCGTACGGCATGCGGAAGCCTACGACAGTCTCCGGCCCCAACAACTTCGTTCCTTCTGTTGTCATCTCTGCGTTGTAATTAAGGGCAGGAAGATCCGCAGGCTCAGGCGTGTCAGCTCCAAACACTGGGATCATGGCGACTTCTTCTGATTGTGTCTGAGCATATAGGCCAGGCCAGATGACAACACCAGCTTCCCATGATTGTATCCAGACCTCTTCGTTCTTGTTCACTATATCGCCCCATGCTTGTTTGCTTAGGTTGGCGCTCGTCACCATTGCCCAGTCGATAGTTCTATGCTCTTCGTCACCGAAGCGTATGTAGGTCTTGATATGTGGTGCCGCGGGGCCACGATGCGCCTGACGTTTCGGCAGACCATCCAAAGATACATGCTTCCAATGGCATAGTGTTGGGTGCATGTACTCTAGCTGCTTTTGTTGCTGTGCTGATTGGAGTTTCCAGTGAATTGATCCACCAGACGCATAGCCATCAAGGGAGGTGCGAATTTCTTCTGGTGTCGGGAAGATGACACTGTATCTAGGTGACAACTTTTCTGGGCTAGACCCACGTTTGGTGAAGAAAGATGATGCCTTTGTGAAAGAAGGTGATGGTTTCTCCGAGATAACAATTTTGGCTGTCGAACAACGGGCAAGCACTGATTGGAAGTTCGAGAGCCACGTCGGTGTTGCACCCAATGTCGCTATGGAGGATATTTGGGTAACGATGTGAGGGCGCGAGTCGTCTTTCGATCTCGAAACGGGGATACCAGAAAGTACTTCTCGTAGTCCTAGCCATCCAAATGAGGTTACCGAAGGACTGGCTGCAGCAGGCTTCTGTCGTGATGGCGCACTACCGATGAAAGCTGCCCTGATACTTGCAAAGTCATAGTCTGCGAGTTGTGTAGTCAGACCATTCAACCGTTTCCCGTATGCTCTAAGATACTGCAGTAAATCGACTTTGAAGCGTTCACCGCTGCCAATAGGGTGGACCTCAAGAGGATCTATCTGTGGAGTTGCTGCCTTGACTGAAACAGGCAACAATGGCGACCTCCACACTGCCTGTGTCATATTGGCCCAGTCGCGGTAGATCATATTGGCCGTATGAATGACAATCTGCGCAGTATCGTCATGTCGGAAGAGGATAAGCATCTTTGAGTGATCTGAATGTGCATGTAGGAAGTCAGTGTATGTCTCACACGTGGTTCGTACATGAGCGTTACTGACGGGTGCCAAAAGGATCTGGAATATATGCGCTCAGCAGCTCGATATTAGGATATTGTTCTGCTGTTTCCTAGGTCTTCGTTAAAATCTATAAATTAGCCACGGAGCGAGGGAACTCACGAACAAGGAAATTCTGTTACTATCATCCTAGAAGATCAGTATTACGAAGTCAGTGTGTGTCTCACATAGAGTTTATACGGGTCATTTCTCACCCGCTTCCAAAAGCCATGTATGATCTTTACTTTGACCATATCCCTCACATCGCTATCGAAGTGCTGCCTAGACGACATCATTATTGGAACTCAAGTGGCAATTATCTTGAGCATGCACTTACATGACAAAATCCAGATCAAACAAAAAGTTGAAGTTCCAGCATTCTTTGATTAGAGGGTCACCCAACAAATCTGACAAACTCATAGCGTCGACATTCTGGTGTGCAGACAGCTTCTCAATTTTGGTCAGTTGTATGGGCGAAGGCAGAAACCGTGTTTCCTCTCTGCGACTACTTTCGTTATCTGGTGGCTGATTTGTGGTTAGTCCAGCCGGGCGCGACGCCAATGTTTGTTCAGGTATGCTATCGAAGTTCCAAGTCGGCGTGAACGACGGTAGCTCAGGACTTTTGCGACGTGATAGTGGTGGGCTTATTGGCTTGTTGAGACTTGCGTGAACGGCAGGCTCCGCGACTTCCTGGTTCGAGTCATCGTCATCAAGCTTGCGGCGTTTTGGTGGCGGAGCAATCCCCATCTGTTGGGACGCCATCAATGAGAGTGTGACAACGGTGATGATTTTGAAGTGATGCCTGCCCTGCGCAGTAAGAAGGTTGAAAACAGACTTGTTGACAGTAAGGCACGGACCAGCCGATTGGAGAAGGCAGTCACTTGCGTTAAACGAACAGGTGGAAGGAACAAAAACAAAGCCCACCCTGGCCAGGTACATAACATCACAATAGGGCAAGCATATAAATATCTTAGGGTAAATTGTGAATGGATATCATTCTCGGTCTAGGCCGTAAAGCTCACTTTTCAAAGCATGCGCTCATCAAAGGCTACAAACATACGCCATCTAATCGTGCTGAGCATCGTCTCCACGATGCTCGCTAGCGAACGCTGTGAAATGAAAACAGTATTATGCCTACACAAAACGAAAAGGCATCCCAAACGCCAGGAATCGCTAAATCGAAAAGGACAATGCTTTAGGCCGCGCTGGCGCTGAGCATGGGCTGCGCGACCTTGGTAACCTGGTTACCAGCCCGGATGATTGGGTTGCCTTGTTCGTCCTTGACGATGTTGACCTCCTTGTTCTCCTTTTGGGCGCGCTTCCAGATCTCGACCTCGCATCCACCACGAATGACACCCACCCTCATGGTAGAGAGTAGGTTGTGAGCAGCGTTGGAGTGGAAGTAGACACCGCCGTTGAACATGGCAGTGGCGTCCTTGCCAATGCCGCTCTTGATCAGAGTCTTGCCTCCGGGGTGCTCGTTGATGAAGTCGGTAACGTCGTGTACAACACCAGCGACGGCAATCAGACCACGGCCGTTCTTAGCCTGCTCAACATAGTCGTCCCACTCGATGACAGGAAGCTGCTCAAGAGGTACACCCCAGTCGAGCTTGGCGCGCTTCTGGTCAATCTTCTTCTGGAGCTGCTGGACGCGACCCTTCTCGATCTCGTTGGCACGGAACTGCTTGAGGTTGGAGGCGAGACCGAGCTTGCTCCACAGCCAGATGGACCACTTGGTGGGGTCGTACTGGTGCCACTCGATAGCGTTACGGTAGTCAGAGGGGAACTCGTGGTGGAAGTTGTGGTAACCCTCGCCGAGAGTAACAAGGGCGGTGATGACGTGGTCCCTGGGGCTGTTGCGGTCGTCAAAGGGCTGGTCTCCGAGCCAGTGGGCAAGCGAGTTGACGCAGAAGGTAGCCTGCTGGACGAAGAAGATGCGGAGGATACCGGCGTAGATGAAGCCACCCTTCCAGTCGTTCCAGAGAAGACCAGCGACAGCCGAGGGGAAGATCAAACCCATGAAGATGACAACCTTGATGTAGTGCTTGTGCTGCCAGACAACGACGGGGTCCTCGTTCAAGTCGGTGATGTCGGTGCGGCCAATACGCTTAGGGTTCTGCTTCATGACCATCCAGCCAAGATGGCTGTAGAGAAGTCCCTTGCGGACGCTGTATGGGTCCTTGTTGGTGTCGGTGTAGCGGTGGTGGGCACGGTGGTCGCGGCTCCACCAGCGGATGGAACCCTCAACGGCACCGCCGCCAACAAGGGCAAGGAAGACGCTGAGTGGGAGAGAGGCGTTGTAGGACTTGTGTGCCCAGAGGCGATGGTAGCCAGCTGTGATGCCGAGACCAGTCCAGAAGTAGTATACGACGGCCCAGAGGGCGGTCTGCCATTTGAGAGGAGTCCAGAAGGCGGCAACGCAGCCAGCGAGAGGGATGCCGATGATGAAGGTAACCTGGGTCTAACGTTAGCCAATGCTGCGGGGTGCATGTTTACGAACAAACTTACGTTCAGCCAGTTGACGTGCTTGTACCAGTTGGCCTTGGTGATGGGCGTGTCGGTGATGTGTGGCTTCTTAGGGTCGTACTTTGGGTTGCGGTTCGGCTCCGAGGTGCTCGCCATGGAAGACGGCTGCTTGACGTAGTCGGGGTCGACGGCCATCATGCCGGCGGTAGGCTGGTGGGAAGGCATACTGAGGGTGTGGTGGAAAGGTAGTAGTAGGGAAAGCGAGGGATGTCGAAGAAATTCGACTGGAAGCAACTAGCGGCTCAAAAAAAGATTGAGCTCCGGTTGGCCTCCGGTGGGTGTGAGTTCAAAGCTCCAACGGCAACGATGGAAAGCTTCACCACGTTCAAGTGAATGACGAGGTTGAAGGGGGGAGGGAAGGAACAGCGAAAGATGTCGGGTGGGAGGGAAAGCAGAGACGGCAGCCGCTGTTAATAAGGCGGCGGGATGGTTGCAGAGTCCCAACACTCTGCGGGCGTGTAAGCGAAAGACTGGGACCTTGCATTGTCGCTCGAGAACCAGCAATCGCCGTAACTTTTGTCATACCAAGGCTAGCGCCGCACACTAACCGCTGTCTCAGGGTCCCGCACAGGCAAAAAGACGGCGCTGGCTGTAACAGCGCGAGAAAATTTCGGGCCTAACTGTCAAGGTCGTGCTGATCTCGGCATCGAGAACAGACCTGGGTGGCGGTGCGTGGTGCGACGTGCAGAATATCCATCAATCCCAAGCCGCCACCTTCCCCAGATTCTAGCAATCGCTGCCCCTCGGCCGCACTATCCACTTGAGAGCTCTCTGTTGCTTCTTCTCGCCCTCGTCCTGCGAAGATGATCACAAAGAGCGGTCTGGTGCAAATCTTCGGCAGCGCATCCCGGCGAGAAGGATTGCCTTACTGGGCATAGAACCTCACGCCGTGGTGATGCCACAAGTCTCGTCATCGCTAGCTCGCTACCTGTCCTCTCCGCTTCAGGCCCCGCTTGGCCACGCCTGCATTCAAAGGATGAGCCCGATTCAAGCTGACACCACCCTCGTTCAGAAGTTTGTTGATATCGCTCTGCGTCCGCACTACCGATATCTTCTGCAGCCTTACGTAGGGTGCGGCCCGCCAAACTCCAGCCAGTCTGGGGAACTTGGCTGCGACGACGTACTTCAAGCAGTGGCAAAATGCTCGTCTCCCGATGCATAGTGGAGCTCGTCCATGACTCTCGATGGCGCTTGAAGAAATTCGTCTATGCTGCAGAACGTTGGAGACTTTGAAGGGTCTTCTTCCGCTGGCGCAAAATCCCCGGCACGGCTTGAACCTCGGGTGGCCGGTCGCAAGCTCTTCTCGATTGGGATGGCGCTTCTCAACACCTGCTTTGTCTGTCTCCAAGCCATACAGACGACTTGTTCATATCAACCTCGACGCGCGCCCACCATCGCCGACTCAACACGATGCATCAGTCTGCGAATCAACGCACGCTCATCTGCCTCGGCTCTGTGGGTCTTCTGTGTCACACCCGCTGCACCCTCCAGTGTGGTCTTACGTCCATGCCATGAGGTCAGTGGTCGTCCCAACGCTTCAACGGGTAGGGCTGAAGGCAAACTGTTGGTATGCACGCGCGAGCTATGACGAGCCCTTCTTGCGAACGTTGGTTGTGGTACCCTGAATGCGTAGCCTTGTTCGACTTCTGCCAAGGCGCAATCTGGGACAAAGTCTGCCGTTGGTTATTCCTCGATGAGACGAATGCTTCTCCTCTCTCTTTGCAGTATACCAACACATCAACATAGTACCGCTTCTGTCGTCTGGGGCTACCTTGGCATGTACTGTCTGTTAACCATAGCTGAATCCAGCCAGCCAGAGGTCAGCGGTCAAAGTGTGCCAATATCAGCACGATTGCTCGAGATGAACTTGCGCTCTCCAAATAGTGGGAGACTCATGACATTGTATGCTGTTGGAACGAAACGAAGAAACTGGTAGTAGTTTTGATGCAGTCCCCATGGAGTCTGTTGTGGTAAGTGTCAGCCTGGTTGTCAGCGAGGCTCCGATCACCGGCTGTTACGCCAGTCTCCAAGAACACGAGTCCCCCCAGAATGAATGCGCAAAGCACCGCACCATCGGTATCCGGCGAACAGGATGTTCTGACGACGTTCGGCATTAGATCTAGATGCACATTCACTTGATTTCGGTGTGGGAGGCGTCTCCCGCAATATCTCCCGCCCTCTATCGTCGGAGTGGACCGCCCGCTAAGCGGACTCCTAGGCGTCCACAACCAATCACGTATTCCCTGCCTATCAGTACAGGCGATCGCTTTAGCACATACGCGGGTGTCGCCCCCTCTGCCACTGCGAAATGCGCGCCTTAGCGACGAGTTTGCCGTGGAGAACAGTAATTGTTTCCGGCGGCTCACGACTATCTTCGGCCAGCTCCAATCTTTGGCGGTCCGTGAGTGCCTTGAATCTACGGCTAGGACGTTGTCGATGAACAATTGTGTATCGTGAGTACTGGCGCGAGAGATAATACTCCTTCTCCACATGTTCTATATAGATGAGGAGCCAGCTCCATCGGTTTGAGCCGTCACTCTGCCACACATCGACTGTTCCCACTTGGACTAAGGTTTCACCATCTTCACGTCACTTCCCCGCATGTCAAACTCCAAGTGAGAGATTCGAGTCTTTCAAGAGCCATCCTAGTGGTGAGCAATTCTGCACGCGATAGCCCGTAGCCGACCAAACGTTCCATCCGACCCTCCCACTGGTCGTGTAGTTCGATATCTTCAGCCACCTCGCCAATCTTATCGGGATCTTCAACATCGAGCGCATCCTTATCGGAAGTTCGACGACTAGACATATAAGAGTTGGCCTAAAATTTACACATCTGCTTCTGTTGGAACGCGCGCATCTGGCGTTCAGAGCCTGAGCAACCATGGCCGACATGATTGGTCCCGACCATACTCCAAAGCTTCGCTTTGGAGAGCAAGCAAGGCGCGCCATGAAGGCCTTCACGACCAAGTATGACCTCCTTTTGTGATTTGCCTGTAACCCTCTAACAACGTTTACAGAGATGGGTTAGTTGGCACCTACGACTACGGATTTCTCTTCCGGCCAAACCTGCCTTTTATGAAGAAGGAGCGAAGAGCAGCGCCCTTTTTCGGCCTTAATGATCGTATGCCAGTACTACTAGCTCTCCTTCTCGGATTTCAGCATGCACTCGCCATGTTAGCAGGTGTCATAACCCCACCGATCATACTTGCCAACGCCGCCAATCTCAGTTCGGACCAACAACGCTACCTTGTTTCCACTTCGCTAGTAGTCTGCGGAATCCTATCCTCGGTTCAAATCACGCGCTTCCACATCTGGAAGACCCCGTACTACATCGGTACAGGTCTAATTTCAGTTGTTGGTACATCTTTTGCGACTATTCCCGTGGCGACTGGCGCGCTTAGCCAGATGTACGCGACTGGATATTGCCCAACTGCTGCTGATGGCACAAGACTACCGTGCCCTGATGGATACGGTGCTATTCTCGGTACTTGTGCAGTATGCGCGTTGCTGGAAATTGGCATGTCCTTTACCAACCCGCGTATCCTCAAGAAGGTTTTCCCACCCCTAGTTACCGGTCCTACAGTTCTGCTCATCGGTGTGCATCTCATCGAAACTGGACTCCAAAACTGGGCCGGCGGTTCCGGTGACTGCCAGTCCCGCCCGGAATCTGGACTTTTCGCGCTATGCCCCAACATCAACGCTCCTCACCCTCTTCCCTGGGGTAGCGCCGAGTTTATCGGTCTTGGTTTCAGTGTCTTCATTACCATCATCATCTGTGAGCGTTTTGGCGCACCCATCATGAAGTCCACTGCCGTCGTCATCGGACTCCTCGTCGGATGCATAATCGCTGGTGCAACCGGCTACTTTGACAAGTCTACCATTGACGCGGCGCCTGCTGTATCCTTCATCTGGGTCAATACCTTCAAGCTCTCCGTCTACGGGCCCATAGTACTCCCGCTCTTGGCGGTTTACATGGTTTGCGCCATGGAAGCCATTGGTGATATTACCGCTACCTGCGATGTTTCGCGCCTCGAAGTCGACGGCGAAATGTTCGACTCCAGAATCCAAGGTGGTGTCCTCGCTGATGGCCTGAATGGTATGATTGCTGCCCTGTGCACTATCACCCCTATGAGGTAAGTTGTGCCTATACGAAATGCATGTGAGACATACACTGACTTCGTATTTTTGCAGCACCTTCGCTCAAAATAACGGTGTTATTGCTTTGACCCGTTGTGCCAACCGGAAAGCTGGTTATGCGTGTTGCTTCTGGCTCATCATCATGGGGATTTTTGCTAAATTTGCTGCGGCCCTTGTTGCTATCCCATCAGCAGTTCTCGGCGGAATGACGACCTTCCTCTTCAGCGCTGTAGCCGTATCTGGTATCAGAATTATAAGCACCATGCCCTTTACCCGCCGCAACCGCTTCATTCTCACTGCGGGATTCACACTGGGTTTTGGTGCCACTATGGTTCCCGACTGGTTTGATCATGTTTTCACATACGACGGACCAAACCACGCACTCCAGGGCTTCTACAACGCTATTGTCTTGATTCTGGAGACTGGTTTTGCCGTTGTTGCTCTAGTCAATGTCATACTCAACCTTGTCTTACCAGAGGAGATTGAGGATGAAGAAACACCAGAGTTGACTGCGAATGAAGTTGATGAGCCAGCGGACAAGGAAGAGTGGGCGAGGATCAGGAAGGGAGCCACAGATGTTGAGGGACGACCGAGTTCGGATATTGAGCCTAGCAAGGCTGCATAAGCGTCGTTTGAGCTGTCTGGTTTTACAAAAAGCGGGTTTTCATGCTTAAAAGGCATGTCGGCGTTATAGTGTTCTGGTAGTTTATGTTTATAAAGAGACTGTTCATCGTCACTTCTACCCGAGGCCGCCCAGGTCACCTCATAATGCCAACGTGCACCACGAACCCACTCCCCTCCTTCAACCCCTCACCTAGCATGCTATCAGGCACCTGCCAGACATGAAAACTTCGATGAAAGCTTTTCAACCAAGTTTCAAAGACTTCTGGACTACGTAGCTGCTGCGCTATCAGACATAGCGTGGGGCTCCCACTTCCCTCTTTCAGCCTACATAGTGCAGCACACGTTGCATTGAGCGGCTCAACGAGGGCTTCGTTGTAGACACAGTCACACGCTACGATCATATCCACAGGGTTGAGATGAAAAGTGGCGTCTGTCTCCCAGTCAAGCTCCAATGTTGTGATGCGGTCGATACCGCCGCCACCACCACCACCACCACCACTCTTTGAGTGACCCTGATGTTTCTTACTCCCCCTCCCACTGTTTTTCTTCACTGGTATCACAGTACCGAGGTTTTCGGCGATGTTCTGCCGAAGCAGTTTAAGCACGTAGTCTTGATCGGTGGCCGTATAGCTTGCTACTCGGGAACCCAGGCAGAGCGCCACGATGCCTGATACACCTGCGCCGAGCTCGAGTATGGTGGAGCTGGGCGTGATCAACTGATTTGTGAAGAGGAAGTTTGTAGGGGAAGAGATCCATGTTGCGAATAAGGGTGTGACTTTCCATACCACTGCATTAGTGTTAGTCGGCGTAAAAGGAACGAAAGGCAACAGTTGTATCGTAATGGCGACAATTATCATGGATTCGCTGGCCTATCTACTGCACGATAGTATAGTTCAAAAGCAACGAGCTCTTTCGTACAGAGCTACGAAGCTGACATGCTTTTTCGCGGGAACTCCCAAGGAAAGCCAGACTCAGCTGAGTTCTGAGAAAGGCTGGGACAACGCATGACCCCGGAGATCATCACAGCAGAACTTACTAGCACCAGTAGTCCCCTCGCTACGATTTGAGGTCAAGAGACCCTTTGAGTGATGAATGACCAGATCATGGCCCGCCACCGTAATCTCTAGGGTTGGGTCCTGCGAATCGATGAAACCGAGTGACTGAGAAGGGATATCTTGCGAGAAGACGACGAAGGCTTCTGCATGATTTGATGAGTGATGTATCGATGATGACCACTTTGTTGTTTTTCGACATTTTCCACATTAGAAATGTGTAGGAGCGAATCGCAAGGAAAGAGCAGTACGATCAGCCGAGGACCAGCGTAGTGTTGTGATTCGATGGTGAGATTCCAGGACACCAGGGGCGTCTTACATACCTTCTTCAGGGTCCAGGATAGGTTCCGTTGCCAGAATCTCCGTGATGAGACTCCGCATCTTGGCAACGCTCAGGCGACAGCGGGTTGCGAGTATGCGCACGAGCCTTGTGCCTGGTGAAGGTTGGCACTCAAGCGAAATACAGCGTCAGAAGGAGGCTGCGCGGCTTGGAAGAGTCTCTGGCTTGCTTGGCCAGCTGAAGACGGGCGCAACTGCACTTGGACGACAGGTGACGTCGAGCAGGTTTCAGACACACAAACGACGTCGAGGCAAGACGACAGGAGGCTGACACGACCTGGCAAACCTTGCGATGTGTGCTGCGTTGTCGATCTTCAGTCGCATCTCGTTCGACAGAAAAGAAGTGGAGAAGCGGCTAGCCCCAGTTGCCCAGAGCTTGCGGTGGCTTAGTGAGGTCATTGCCTAAGAAGCTCGGCCGCCCAAGCAAGTCGATTTAGCGACACGAGCATAACATAGCGCATAAGCTCCCCAACACACCAACCTCATCACATCCGCCATTCTCCGCTGGCGACGACACACTCTACTTATACCCTCTCGCTGCTGCTGGCACTTTTTGTGATACCCTTTGCCCTATACCCCCACATATACCCACACTCAACACACACGATTGTCGCTCTGGACAGCTCCCACCCCAGAGTCGCCAAGATGCCGCAAGACCTCAAGAAGCTGATGCCCCAGGCCAAAATGTACCGGTCGGGGCCCTACACGTGCGAAGCTGCGAATGCAGAAAAGGTAGAAGGCGAGACAGTCCCGCGCCGCAACCTGGCCGCGAAAGAAGGCCTGATAATGAAGCCCCACGACAACGTAACCACACTGTACGACGTTCTGCGACACTCAGCCGCCAAGTTCGGAAACGCAAAGGCAGTCGGTGCGCGCAAAATCGTCAACGTACACGAGGAGACGAAGAAGGTCAAGAAGATGGTCGATGGCAAGGAGCAGGAAGTAGATAAGAAGTGGCAGTACTTCGAGCTCAGCCCGTACAAGTACAAGAGCTTCGTCGAGTTTGAGAAGATGGCTCTCTCGGTAGGCTCGGGACTCAAGTCGCTCGGCTTCAACCCACAGGACAGGCTGCATCTGTTCGCCGCTACAAGCATGCAATGGCTTGCGTCCGCACATGGTAAGTAGTCGCGTGTATGTATGCAAAAAGCAACAACTAACCATGACTCCAGGCGCCATCTCCCAATCCATGGCCATTGTTACCGCATACGACACACTGGGAGAAGAGGGTCTCAAGCACTCCATGCTCCAGACCAACGCGAAGGTCATGTTCACAGACCCAGAGCTACTGCCCAGGCTCGTCAACCCAATGAAGGAGGCCAAGGATGTTCAAGTCGTCGTGTACTGCACCAAGAACGACCCCAAGCAGAAGGACATCGACACCCTCACCCAGGCCCACCCGCACTTGAAGGTCATAAGCTTCGACGAGCTGGTCAAGATGGGCGAGCAGAGCCCTGCAGAACCCATCCCACCCAAGGCCGACGACCTGGCTTGCATCATGTACACGTCCGGATCTACAGGTACCCCGAAGGGAGTTATGATCAAGCACCGTAACGTCGTTGCTGCTAGTATGTCACATACCTCAAAATCATTAACAGCCTACTGACAGCTTCTAGTTGCTGGTGTCGACGTCATCGTTGGCAAGTACCTCGGACCAGGCGATGTTCTCATTACCTACCTTCCCGCCGCGCATATTCTCGAGTTTGTCTTTGAAAATGCCGTACTCTACTGGGGTGGTACTATGGGTTACGGAACCATCAGGACGCTCTCAGACCAGTCGGTGCGCAACTGTGCCGGTGACATCCGTGAGCTGAAGCCGACTGTTATGGTCGGTGTGCCTCAGGTGTGGGAAACCATCAAGAAAGGCATCGTCAACAAGGTTGAGGCAGGAGGCGCTGTCAAGAGTAACATGTTCTGGGGTGCGTACGCTGCCAAGGGCTTTCTTCTTGGCTCCGGACTACCTGGCAGTGGTATTCTTGACGCCATCGTCTTCAACAAGGTCAAGGAAGCCACCGGTGGCAGGCTCCGAATTTGCATGAACGGTGGTGGACCCATCGCGAAGGAAACCCAGCGCTTCATCTCTATCGCCATTACGCCCATGATCAGCGGATACGGTCTGACTGAAACCTGCGCTATGGGTGCGCTCATGGACCCCTTGGCTTGGAACGAGCATGCTCTCGGCGAAATGCCTGGTTCAGTCGAAATGAAGCTCGTCGACTTTGCAGACGCCGGCTACTTCTCCACTAACAACCCACCCCAGGGAGAGATCTGGATCCGTGGTGGTGGTGTTGTGGACGGTTACTTGGACATGCCTGAGGAGACCAAGGAGGCGTTTACCGACGACGGCTGGTTCAAGACTGGTGACGTCGGAGAGTTTAATGCCAACGGTGAAATCCGCATCATCGACCGTAAGAAGAACTTGGTCAAGACGCTCGCTGGAGAGTACATTGCGCTTGAGAAGCTCGAGTCTGTCTACCGCTCAGCGCCCATTGTTGCCAACATCTGTGTCTATGCTGCGGAAGACCGTCAGAAGCCTGTCGCTATTATCGTGCCTACCGAACCGCAACTCAAGAAGATTGCATCGGCAGAAGGTGTCAGTGGCGACTCTTTGGAGGAGCTAGTTCACGATAAGAAGATTAACTCTGCTGTGCTCAAGCAATTACAGCAAGCCGGTCAAAAGGGCGGCCTGGCTGCCTTCGAGATGATTGAGGGTGTTGTATTGGCAGACGAGGAATGGACACCACAGAACGTAAGTACCAATGCGACACGCAAGTAAACCTACAACATGCTAACAACATATCAGGGTCTCACCACTGCTGCACAGAAGCTCAACCGCAAGGGCATCTTGAAGCAATACCAGAAGGAAGTTGACCAGGCTTACGGCAAGTCGTCGTAGAGGCATGCCGTCAGAGGCGCGAAAACGACGTTAGGCACCATATCTTGTTGCAATGCTTGGGTTGTTGGCTATTTTCTTATGATTATATGAACCCAGTTGCGGAGTCTTCTATTCTGAGTGGCGGAGCAAGCGTTGTAATTATATCATTGATGCTATAGCATGGCGCAAAGCTTTTGGTTGTTTGAATGCGTAGTGTACTTAAGGTACTATCCACAAGTTTCCATCAATGCCCACTAAAAATGACGAAGAACTGTTCCTTTGTGCGTTTATACATTATATCGACATACGAGGGGTGGAAGGTGGTGAGAGCCGTCTCATGTCGCTTCGTAGCGGCTTCGTTCTTCGGCTCGTGTGAGGTGAATTGTGATGGGAATCAAAGGTAAGGACTTTTTGTATGGGCGCACATATAGGCAAGTGTAGATAATATATCCAATGGGTTCAACGTTGTACTACGTTGATAGCTGTGCGCCATCTTATTGCTTCTTGGCGTCCCTCTCAGCCTTCCGAAGCGCGCGTTTCCGGATGTTCTCGTGCATGCCCCTGTTCACCTTGACTACAGTATCCGAACGCTCACCCAAGAAGCGCGAGAGAAACCAGTGCATGAGTCCGTGACTCCAGTATGGCGTACTTGTGAAAGCCACACCCTGTGCACCTCCACTTCTTCCAATCTTGCTCAGTGTGGCGTTTACGAACTGCTTGGGGTTCGGCACAAGGGCGGATGTCTTACGGATTTTGGACATGGCGGTGGTGACGAGGTGGGATTGGACGCACTGAACGTATACGCCATGGGGCTCAAGCTCAGAAGCAAGCGCGGTGGACCACTGTTGTAGGAATGCCTTGCTGCCAGAGTAGGTTGCGAGGAGGGGCGTGGGGAAGAAACCGCCAAAGGATGCCATGGTGAGGACGAGGCCACGCTTGCGAGACATCATGCCGGGGGTAACAAGCTGCGTGACGCGTAGCGTAGCCATACAGTTAATCATGATGATGTCGTTCATTTCCTGCTTGGGTGTCTCGACAAATGGCACGGGGATGCTGTGGCTCAAGCCGACGTTGTTGACCAGTATGCTAACATCCAATCCTTCGATGAGCTTCTTCATGTTGTTGTAGTCGGCATCCTTGTTCAGCGCAAAGTCCATGGCCAGCGTCTTGACGGCGATTTTGGGGCCATACTTGGAGGTGATGTCGGCAGAGAGGGCGTCGAGCTTCGATTGCGTGCGCGAGACGAGGATGAGGTTGTAGCCCTTTGCTGCAAGGGAGAGGGCGAACTCCTTGCCAATACCGTCTGAAGCCCCAGTGATGAGTGCCCAGGTACCGCGGGGTCCGAAGGTGCTAAGCTGGCGGGGGTTAGGTATGCTCTGGGGAAGTAGAAGAGTCATGTGGAAGGGCTGCATACCGATTTTCCTGGGAGCACGAACAAGCTCAGGAGAACCCGGACAGTGCTGACAATGGGTGCTGCGAAGGATGCAATGCCGACAAGCAAGAAGCCATAAACGGCAGCCTGCACAAAGGAGTTGCTCGCATCGATGTGAACACCAAACGGCTCGAGGATGGCTGTCATGATGGGCGGATGCTAGGGTGACCAGAGGTTGGTGGTTGGGGAGGTGAGGTCAAGGAAGAAACGCAAGCGGCTGCAGCACCCAAGTTCGCACGCTCTGTCAGTCGTCGCGACTGTCTTCTCACTTCTCGCCTGGCTTCGCTCTAGGCCCTGCCGAGGCTGGCGGGACTAGCGCGACGCTAGGCGTCGGCACCGGAGAAACCTGTCGTCCACACTTGCTAAGCGTAAGCGAAAGTCAGAGTGGAAATTGTGTCCAGCAACATCGAAAGCTCGACAATACCACCCGACCCGCAACCATGGCGACCGAACTCACGTACGTTGTGCGAACCCGCGAACAAGACTGTCGACAAATGCTGATTGCGAAATAGTGTCCAGTCGGAGCGCGCTTTCCAGAAGCAGGTACTAGACGCCCGTTTCGCGATTTCCCAGCACACACGGTACTAATGCGATGCGATAGCCTCACATCTTCCTCAACCACAAGGTCGGCGGACCCCGCAAGAACACCCGCAACAGGAGATGGTACAAGGACGTTGGTCTGGGTTTCCGTACCCCCAAGACCGCCATTGAGGGTACCTACATCGACAAGAAGTGCCCATTCACCGGCATGGTCTCCATCCGTGGTCGTATCCTGACCGGAACTGTCATGTCCACCAAGATGCACCGTACGTGAATACCCAGGTCCGGAGCGCACACAGGGCTCGGCCAGCACCACAAGAAAACGCTTGGCAATGGGGACTAACGCAGTGCAGGCACCTTGATCATCCGCCGTGAATACCTTCACTTCATCCCCAAGTACTCCCGTTACGAGAAGCGCCACAAGAACCTCGCCGCACACGTTTCTCCCGCTTTCCGTGCTGAGCCCGGTGACCAGGTCGTCGTTGGCCAGTGCAGGCCCCTCTCCAAGACCGTCCGTTTCAACGTTCTCCGTGTCCTCCCCCGAAAGGGAAAGGCTGCTAAGCAGTTCAACAAGTTCTAAGTGCATAGAAAAGGGATGGTGTAACGGTTCATGATCAACAACGGAAAGAAACTTGGTTGAGGCGGAGCGTGATGGTTTTCGATATGGTCGTCAAAACTCGGCATCAAGGGTTGAGGAATCGGAGTCCCATGGGCCATGTATGTTTCTTCAGCTACGATCAATGAAAGTCCTCGAGTGGTCAAACAAGCCACCGAGGCGGGTCAAAAAGTCCATTGCTGTTTGTATTGGATCGTGATGAGTTCTAGTCAACGTAGCTTGCGTTGGGAACTCGAGTTCTCTTCATGCCCGATCCTACCATGACATGCCCTCGATCTAGGTCGTGAGAATACTCCATGCATCAAGGCATCCGTGTATAGATTAACATTACATCACCATCTTTTATATCAATACCCAGTGTTCTCCCCCCTGTCTCTCTAAGCCTTTACGTAGAAATTCCACTGCATGAACATCCAGATCAGACTTGAAGTCGCTACCATCACCGGTCCAGCCAACGGCTTTCCCCATCTTGTCGTCCCGAACACGAACCATTCACTCATGAAGTGTCCCCATGCTACGGCATAAGTGGCGATAGCCAATTGGTAGAAACTAGGGTTGTTGATGTTGTAGGCAGCGTAGAAACGTACCACGCCCGTCAAAAAGGTCCATGTCCCAAATGTGCGTGAAGAGAGAGCGGTTACGTGTTTTGGCGTAGTAGGTGGTGGGTCAATTGGAGTAGGGTTGTAGACGCGCGAGGTGAAGGACAGCGTGGAGTAGCATTGGATACTGTTTCCGATGGAGATCAGAGAGACCTGCGGAGATTGTTAGCTGGCCCAACTGGGTGGAGAGACGATGTAAAGGTGACAATTGTAAGGTTGCAGAACAAAACGTACGATCAGAAGCCATTTGGGTAGCAGACCCTCTGATTGAGGGAGGTAGGATTGAAGCACATCCATTACAGTGAGCAATTGGGTGCTTAGATGGCAGTACGGCGTTCGAGAATTTGTGCGCACGTCGAGCGTTGGATTTGGGACGTTTGGGACGTGTTCAGCCTGGTACAAATGCGAGAGCACCGAAGGGTCTTGGTCTGTGCCCCTGAGTCGAAGACATTTGGATTCATTCCTCAACTCACAGTCATGGACCTGTCCTCGCAATACGGGAAAAAGAAAGGACCAGAGTTTCAGCGACTAAATGTAAGCATTCTATGTGAAAGGGTAATAGGAACGCGTGTTGAGGAAACGGGGTCACGCATAGTTGGAGGTGCACAACGCGCGTCTAAAGTAAGACCAGACTGTGTAACGATAAATTGAAAAGTACTACTAAGGAGATTGATATCTGAAGTAACACTGCTACTACGTTATCATTCAACAATGTGCTCAGTGGAAAATTGAGGCACCAGCGCGAGGTTGTAGATACGAATGCTTTTATCGATAAGGCTTAGAGAAAATACTGATGCTTCAATATCTCGCCCCAGACCATAATGACCATCACGATATTTCTTATGCATATATTACGCGCCGGAGGTGATTATGCTCATGTCTTTACAAAATGGATCAGACGATGACCACCATGATGAGGAGAGGGGCGACCCTGTATCCGGCGCGGCAAACACGGATGAAGAAGCCCACCTGTTAGGAAGGGAAGAGTTGGATTTTGAGGACTATATGCCACCTACGCGTGCCAGTCGACACACATTCTTGAGTTTCTTGCGCAGTCCAGAGCCGCCTCGCGTCCAATCCATACAGCCGATCTTCCCGTCGGTTCAAGCGCGCCCAGTACAGTGGCTTGAAGCATACAGGCTCAACAACCCTATTTCGCTCGTTGTCGTGCTGCTCGTGTGGCTCCTGGTTTTCATATGGTTTCTGACTGCCCAATTACCGCTTCGAGATGGGGACGGTAACAGCGTGCTCAACCTCGACTGCACAGATACACTCTGGAAACGAAAGAACGAATGCGGTATCGACGGAATCAATTGCCGGCCCTTCAGCGACTATTCTTTCGCCTTCCAGTGTCCAGCAAAGTGTGGAGGTGTGCAGATCCTGAATCCGCATGTTGTTGGGCCGCTTGAAGTAAATTATCGGCCTCTTGTCATCGGCACAGAAGTTTATCGTGGAGATAGTTTCATCTGTGGCTCAGCGATCCATGCTGGGATTGTAGATGATCAGAAAGGTGGTGCTGGTCGTATAACCCTCGTTGGCAACTATGACAATTTTGCCAGTACCAAGCGTCACGGCATCGAATCCTTGCCTTTCGATTCCTACTTTCCGCTAGCTTTTTCTTTGGCTTTCGATGACAGCTTCCAGGCCATCTCTGATCCTCGATCAGCATTGCTTCCCATCTCGATTCTATTTACTGCCGTACTTGCTATATTCTCCACATCGCCAAAGATCTTCTTTCCAATCTTTACTCTCATATTCGCCCATGTGAGCTTTTTTTCTGATCCACCGTCGGCATCGTATCACAATACCACTGTACTGCCAGATCACATATCCATGTTCGCAAAACGACTTTTACCGGCAATGTTCGTAGCAGTAGTGTTGTACTCTACTGTCATTAAGCGAGCCTTGTCTGGGCTGACTGCTCAGTTTGAGAAAGCAATCTTCTGGCTTGGTGGATTCTGGATTGGAGCGTTATCAAATTACACCTTTGATTGGATACCTATATCGCGACTTACGGCACACGATCTGGAACAACAACCGGGGGCGAAGATAGCCTTGGCCGCAATTATTGTGGTACTGGCCGTAATCATTGTGGGTCAAGTATACTACTTCTGGCTCGAAGGACGCCTGCTCCGATACCTTGGCTTGTACGGAATTTTCGTTACCAGCATCTTAATATGCTTGATTATACCAGGTGTCAATCTGAGAATCCACCATTACATTCTTGCGATGCTGCTGCTGCCCGGAACCAGCCTTCAGACACGGCCATCCTTGCTCTACCAAGGCATTCTATTGGGCCTCTTTGTCAACGGAATAGCGCGTTGGGACTTTGACTCTGTTCTGCAGACTTCTGCAGCACTTCGCGATGATGCAAAGTTCAACTCGGTCGTTCCCAAGATACTGAATGCTGTTATCGAGTCCGATACCGAGGGGACCGTTGCGACATTTTCGTATGACGTACACCCGATCGGAGTCAATGGTATAAGTGTTTTAGTAAACGACGTTGAGCGCGATCGTACGTTCTACGATGGTGGGCTAGTTGCGGCTTCCTTCAAATGGGATCGGCCAATTGACAAAAGGATAAATGAGTACTTTCGTTGGGCATATGTCATAGACGGGCGAACGCTTGACTATTCAAGGCCAATTACATGGTATGGTACTGGTACGTGGAGCAATGGAGGCTCGATGGAAAAGAAATGAGAACTGTTGGCTGCACTGTTGCATTTATGAGATTACCCAAGGCCTAGGCTCATGTTAATGTGGCATGGTGGATCTCCATGGTCTCATCTCTTCGAAAATTTCAACCGTTGTAATCAAGGGAATACGTCGGGGTTTGGTTGTTGTTATCTTTCGGATTTGGAGACCCGTCATTTGCTATAGGTGGCATCGAACCATGGTATCAACTCCATAAACCCCGCCTTCATCGTCACAAAGCCCACATCACTATACGGTTCAGCCACGAGAGACAAGTTTATCCAAAGGCATCTACGCAGCTCTTCTTCTTTCATCATTCCCTCCTTCCCTTCCTCCCAGACCAACCTAGCCTTCACTCACTACTATCCAAAATGGTAAGTCGCAACTGTCGTATGCTTCTGCTACAACGCACATTACTTCGTCCAAATGAATGACTGTCTTGTTTGAACCAGTTGTATGGTTTTTCTTGACAGTCACAGGGTGTTCTTCGATCATACGTGCACAAGTTTGCAATCTGTACTGAATTTCAAGTAGCACGGAATACTCCTCACAGCCACCGCTGCGCTTTCCACACTGGTTCCTCGCCAGATGCGAAACTGCCCCTCTACACCAACATGTCCTCGATGGAACGGCTGTGTATCAACCTCCACCAACGGTGCTGTATTCCAGCTCAGCTGTGCAACCGACTACAACGGCCCCGTCATTGACGCTGCGCAGGTGAACTAAAATCGAAACGAAGTCCAGATGAAGTACTCACATCAATTTAGGCCGATGCGTTCGTCGACTGCGGAGATGCTTGCTCTCGACGTTCCGGTTGTGTTGCATTCAATATGAAAGATGGTTTCTGCTACCTTCTTGGCAAGCCCGTTGGAACTGCCCGAATCTCGTGGGTCGATCGCTAGCGCATCGGTACTTCTTAACACTGTTCTGACATGTTCCATAGCTCTAACAACGTAAACGCCGGCGTACAACTCAAGGCCCCGACCGACCCAGAGCTAGCTCCTGGCTCTTCGACGTGCACTACGGTGATCGACTGCCCCACCAACGACAAGTGTAGGTACCTTACCAACAGCAAGTCGTTCATCGCCGAATGCAACTATGACTACTATGGCGGAGACATTGCTCTCAAGTCAACTGATACCATGACAAAGTGTGTGGATGAGTGCGCCATCTTCCCAGGATGTGTTGCCGTCACTTGGGTTGATAGCAACTGCTACCTCAAGAACAATAACACCAAGATTGTCTACAACAACGACGTGGATAGTAAGTAGTTTGTGTACTTCCCGTTCCTCTCATGAAGCTAACACAAATTCAGGTGTTGTCCTTGAAGTCTAAATTTCACGTTAGGAAGAGAAGCCAGATACTGTCAACACCGCGCGATATCCCCGAATGGATGAACACATTGGCGCCAGACGAATCTGGGGTCGAAGAGGGTGTGGATTATTGGACTTTCTAGGTCATTGAAACGTCTTGTGGCTCTCTTGCCTTCTTACCTTGCTGCATAACGACCCACGTTCATGCTATGTCAACCAAGCAGTAAATAGCAGGAACTAAACATTCATTTCGGTATCCATCCTCGAGTGCAGCATCGATGCTTTCGTAACTCTTGCATGCCGCGAATATATAGACGGAAGTGTTAATGCTTGATACGCTTATCATGAGCTGGCTTTAAGGGCTAATCATAGTGTCGAGGAGTTAGGCTGATGTCTAATGCTAGGGCAAAAGGAAAGGAGATCGACAGTAACATGATCAGAGCGACCATTTTGCCGTGATCTACCCGTCGTTTGGTCTTGATAACTGTAGCGACTATACAAGCCTCTCGCTGCAATCGAGCATTTCCTACGTTTTCTCTAATCTTTTCCCGTGCGTACGTTCGTGGTTATACATGACGTCATTGTACGTTGCTGAGTAGCGTAATCCAAAGAGATCTATGGATAGTCCCCCCAAAAAAATCTGCGATACAGCGTAGGATAAGATGCTTTAGCGAAAACGTTGAAGATGAGACTGTGGCCTCGGGTTCGGGCGCAAAGGTGGCGGCGATCATGATCGCCGTTGATAGCCACCCCACTAACGGCGATGGTGACTCAACCAACCAGGACCTATATAATCAAGATGATAAGCACGAGAGCTTCAATGTAGCCTTACTCTCAATTACCATCTCGATGGCGCTCCAAAGCTTCTTTATCAGCGCTATCGCAGCCTACCCCACAGTGACCTTATTCTTTGCACCGTTCCTGCTCCTGTTCATTCGTTCCATATATCGCGTCTACTTCCATCCGCTATCTCACATTCCAGGACCATTGTTACCCAAGTTGACTAGCATATTCCTCCATTATCACGCTTATATCGGAGATGAAGCAAGCACCATCCACAAGCTCCACGAACGGTACGGCCCGTACGTGCGTGTCGCACCCAATGAAATTGACATAAGCGACGCGGATGCTATACCTGCAATTTATGTTTCAAAAGGAGGGTTTCCAAAAGCGGCATGCTACGCCAATTTTGATATCGACGGCCATAAGACTATCTTCTCGACGGTTGATGCGGATTACAGGAGTCCGAGGGCAAAAGCCGTAGTCCCACTGTTCTCTACCAAAGCGCTCAGAGAGAACGAGAAGGCTATCTGGGGGTGCGTGGATCGCATGATCGAGCGGCTAAAGGAAGAATCAAAGACAAGAAGGCCGGTCAACGTGCTTAATCTAACGCGAAGCTTGGCTGTAGACGCAGTTTCCACGCATCTTTTCCGGGAGAACTACGATGGAGTCAGCGAGCGCGGTCCCGTACTCAGTGTAAGCGCATTCGTAGACGCATTTGTAGCGGTCGGCCGCTTCTTCTACCTCCCAAATATCGCTTTCGTATGGCTAGAATGGGCCGTCGGTAAATGGATGCCCGACCCTGAGACCGAAGACAGCATGATGCTGGTCGAGAAGTTTGTTTCTGCCTTGGTAACCAACACCTCCGAGAAGTCAACGACCTATCCAGGACGTCTACTAGCCGCCGGGCTTAGCGACTCGGAAGTCAAAGCGCAGTGCAAGGATCTTGTCTTTGCGGGTACAGATTCCACGGGAATGAACTTGGCTACGATCATGCTGAATCTAGCATTTTATACCGAGAGATACGAGACACTAAAGGAAGAGATCAGGAGTAATGCTGCCCTTGGTTCTGATGCACAAGAAGTCCAAGCGTTGCCCTACCTCAACGCTGTTGTCAAGGAGGGTCTTCGAATTAGCATGGCCAATCCGACGCGTTTGCCTCACGTTGTACCTACGGGAGGCTGGACTTTCAAATCCACCTACTTCCCTGCTGGCTCTGTTGTCGGCTGCTCAGCCTTTGAGCTACATTTCAACCCGACTGTCTTCCCCGAGCCTCGCAGTTTCAAGCCCGAGAGATGGTTGAACCCGACGGAAGCGATGTCAAAGTACTGGTTCGCATTTGGGGCAGGTAGCCGAGCGTGTATCGCAAGAAATTTGGCAACCTTGGAGTTACAGTTTGCGACAGAGCGATTAGGGAAGAGTGGTGTCCTTGATGGAGCTAAAGTGATGCAACAGGAAGTTGAGATCTATGAGTGGTTCAATTCAAAAGTGAAAGGCGAGAGAATTGACTTGGTCTGGAGATAGACAACAAGGCTCTTTGATGCATTTGGCTGCATGGAGTCTTCAGCGTACAGAATCAATAGACACTTCATGAACAGAAGAAAGCTGAACTCTTGATACCGATGCCTGTGCGTGCTGCCGTTTGATCGGAAAAATCTCACAGGTTTATGATTTCAAGCATCATCATAGCTCTTGCACCTGAATAGAAGACACCAAAGAAACAGCAACACAGAGAACCACACGACACAGCAAACACGATTATTAGAGTAACACCTCTAGTACAGAGCAGCATTGACGGAGTGAAAATCAATCGAACAAGTGACCTCTTCCTAGGGCTTTAGATCAACGACAACTCTACCAAGGGTTGTCAAAGCAAGAAGTAATGTGCCTCGGTGAAAGGTAAAAGACAATTGATGAACACACACATGTGTCGAGGCAAACAACCCGAGAAACTGTAGAAAATGTGTGGTATTCAGAAGCAAACGTAAACGCTATCAACAAGTACAAAGTAACAAAGGTGAAGAGGAAAGAAGGAGAAAGCTGTACGTAAAGATCCAGGTGCGTGTTTGGACCATTGTCAAGCTGAGCTGCGCGATCGACAAAGCATGAAAGGGGACAAACAAGCGAAACCCAACAACTCCGCTATCCCATCAGTTGGTGTCATTGTGAGATGACTCAGCTGCGCCATGTAGAAGAAAGATGCCCGCCAACTCGGTTCAGGGACGACACTTCTCGCCAGTCTCGAAGCACATCTCGACAACCTCGCGAGCTCCATTATGAAAGCACCTCTTCTTGGTGCCGCAGGTGAACTGCCAGTCACACATCTATAGAAGTCAGTCAACAGAACAAACCAATAAAGATCAGTATACAAAGAAAAAAGTGTCACCTACTCCACAAGATTCGTCATCGACCTCGCACAGATAACAGTCCTCCTCAGCAAAAGCAAAGTTTGGCCTAGTACCATTGGAGACTGCAGGCTGTAGGTGGCTGGCTGAAGCGTTGGAAGTCGAGTCTTCGGCGTCATCGAGTACCAAAAGCATAGCAGCGGAGCCGAGGAAATCGCTGGGAGTCATGGATGCATCGTTTGCTTTGAAAGCTTTGGCATCCTCTGGCACACTCACACAAACCTCCGATCCGCTAACGGCGTCTTTGCAAAGAAAGTAGAAGCAATCTTCGTCGCAAGCAAAATCGCATCCCTATTGTCAGCTGAAGTCAGTCGAGAGTTCTGCGAGCACACGAAAAGCGATGTGTTGACTTACATCACACTCCGTGTTACCGTCGCAAGTGTTGCAAGTTGTTTTGGCCATGGCAATATCACGAGAAGACATAGGCGCAGGAGTATGTACCGCACGAACTGATCTGGCTACCGTATGTGTCGCGGTTGTGATCATGGTCATAGGAATCTCGATCACAGACGGGGAGCGCGAAGCAGTAACGGTTGGGGGCTGTACGACAACGGTGGAAGCTGGATCCTGATAGTGGTAGACGATGGTGGAGGCCGGCTTTTCCACGGTGACGGTGCTGGGTTGAGGACGCTGGCGAGTTACTGTCACAGTGCTGGGTTGAGGACGTTGAGGAACCACTATCACAGTGCTGGTTTGGAGACGGGGAGAAGATACAATGACCGCACTGTTCTGCGGGGCCTGGGGGTATACAGTGACGGTACTAAGGGGAATCGGAGGTACCGAAAGGATGGTCGTAGTGATCGTCGTGGGGTCCTGAGGGACTACGACGACAGTGGTGGTACTAGCAGGAGGGGCAGATGCAGTAACCGTGACAGCTGGAGGTGAGGGTATAGTCGATATGGTGACTGTGGAAACCGAGGGAGGAGGAATTGTCGAGATGGAGGTTGAGTAAAGTACGGTCTGCGTCGTAGTTGTAGTTCCTGGCTGGGGCATGACGACAACAGTTGTTGTTTCGCTTGGTGCTGAAGCGGAGATATTGAAGCTGGGAGGCTGCCACTTCGAGCGAATGCTCATGCAAAGGGTCAGGCGAGCAGCTAAGTCGTTGCACACGAACTTCTCACATTCAGCGCAGTCGTTGTGACATTCCTAAGCAAAGCAGGATTAGCAAGCCATCGTGTAACACTAGGGTCTACGGAACAATCAACATACCGGGCAGGTCAATGCGTCACAGGGCATACACTGCGACTGTTTGAATGCAGCATTGCGACGAACATGTTGCTGACTACCGACATCATTGGAAGCTACTTCATCGCGAGGGGCTAGTACACTGTGTCTCGGGGGAAAGATCATGTGTGTGATCGTGTTTGTGGCGGCCGTACTTGTGATGGTGATGGTGGAATCAAAAGTTGGCGTAGGCAGCACAATGGAACTGGTCTCAACACTGGTGCTGGTAACGGTCTCGTAGATGGTGGCTGTGACGCCTGGGATATCAGTGACGCCTGTGTGATTGCGAATGGCCTCAGCAAGCTCTGGCTGGATATCGAAGCAATGTGTTTGATAGCGCAAATATCCATCTTCGCATTGGTAGTGATCGCAATCTCGGCAACTGAATTTGGAATGGTCACAGTACTACCAGTCAAAGTCAGTAAGAGCTCTGCATATCGATGGACGGAGAGAGTAGAGCATCATACATCGCAAGGGTCTTGACTTGTACACTGCTTGCACGTAGCCTCCGACAGGGTAATGGTGCGAGACGATAACGAGTCGGCGGACGATTCAGCAGCGATATCACTGTCCTGATAGTAGGAGCAGTAGTTGTTCGCGTCGCAGCCGATGTGCCAGTTGCCATCTACAGGGGTTGATCGGGCCGTAACAGCATCTGCGGAGCCACTGGTTGAAGTTGACAGGATTGTCAGACCGGCTGGCGTGGCGGCACCGACAGCGATGAAGCCAGCGATGACGCTAGTAGTGAGACGCATAGCGGAGAGCGTGGTCAGAGGATACTGGGTTCCGCTGTTGATCAGACGAATAGCGTAGAGGTCCTGGAGAATACCGAAGTAGACTTGGGTATGGATGCTCGATGGATGGATTGGATAGAGTTGCTGGGGTGAGTTGTGATGTGAGAGAAATGGAGGATGAGGACCAGAAGACGGGATTATATACTCTGGAATTGACGTGCACGGTGGTTGGATGGTGAGCAGCAGCAGAAAGGTGCTGCTGCTCCATCATTTGTTATGTTTACTGCTATCCTAGACAGACGAGGTAAGAACACAGGCGATCGATGCTAATACTGCGCCAAGAACAGTAAGGCCTACTCCCACAGGTGGTATTCGGGGAAGTAACGACGATGAATCCTTGTAGCATAGTCAACCACCGCGGGGCATCTTGTCTTGATTAACTCTCTGCTCTCCGGCCCAGCATCCGCAACGAGCGCGCTGACGGTAAATCCGAACAAAGTGGCATCGGCTTCAGTGGGCTTGTGGCCTCCAAGTGCCCAGAAGCAGTCGTTATCATCAGCTTGTCTTCGGCTGTCCTCGAGCAGACCATTTATACCCTGCCAGATATCCGTGCGGAAACTGCGAACCTCATCATTCGAGAAACGACCGGTACCTTGATCTTGCAGTTTCCTCACAATGCCCCGGTAGGCTAGGTAACCGAGAATGATACGCTGCGGAAAGGGCACCTTGGCCAGGACGTAGTCGCGCATAGTGTAATAATTATCGATCCAGCGTTCGCGAGAATTATAGAAGAAGAGCCTATCTTCGAACAGGGCTCTGATACCAAGATCGTAGGCTATATCTCTGGCGGCTAACGCCGCGTTCATATCAGATAGCAGGCCTCTGCTGATGAGCTCTTTCGTGATGAGCGTAGTGTCAGCCAGTATCTCGGAAGGAGCTCCCGGGCATGATAACTCGAGATAGGGGATTTTGCCTTTGGGTCCAAAGATTGGACCGCCCACACCGTGTTGGTAAGGGATATTGGCTAGACGCAGGCGGAATTCGAGCTTTGTGACAAAGGGCGACCACGTATAGTGGCCAGGCTTGTTTGCGCCATGTATAGTGATGCTTCGCTCGACACTGGTGTCCATTAGGTAGTTCTATACACTAGACTGATTGAAAAGTTAAGCTGATGTGACGCGAAGGCATGCATGCTGCCAGCAGCACGGCCATATATGGCAGTCCATGTACGATGGCGTGCCTGATTATCGTACATAAGCTTGATAAGCACAATGCTTTCAGATGTGAGCAGAGGCAGGCGACAGGAAGCGAGGTCATGCTGCTTCGAGTTACAACATGGCTGCAGCCAATCACGCGAAGGTCTGACGTAGCGCGTCAGTCCGGCTGTGGGGAAAGGCGCGACTCCAGGTCAGGGTCGACTTCGACTGCATCTGGCGAAAGTGAAGAGCAGCGTACAGCATCGCGTTAGTCATGATGGATTCCTCGACACTATGGCACGCCCTCTTGTCGCTTTTCTCGCCTCGTTTGCCTTGGACCCTGGCAACGCGCTTTCTGGCTACACAGCAGCCCTGCACAAGCCCACCGCCCGACTAGGCAACCGCTGCAGCTTCACCTGAGCAATCATCTCCCCTCCATTACCGCCCTAAATCATTCCAACACCCACGCAGCTTCATCTTCACTGCCATCACCTGCACCTCAATGTCTACCATGGCCAATGATAAAGCCGCATCCGCCTTCATGGGCCTTCCGCTTGAAGTGCGACACACCATCTTCGAGTACGTAGCTGCCCGTGACGTCAAGCCCAAGAAACTGCTCCGTTACTGGTTTGAGAAGAAGGAGGTCAAGGCACTTGTTGAGCAAGAGGTCACCAACAACCCCAACGGTCCTGCGCCCCAAGTAGTGTATGGTAACGACTACGATGAGTACGAAGACGAGAGCGCCGCAACTGATGAAGACGGCGACGAGAGTGACGACCCAGAAGAGACTGAGAGCGCGGAAGAGGACAGTGAGACCGAAGATGAAGATGAGGACGAGGACGAGGACGGGGATGACAATGAAGAGGCAGAGCAAGAAGAGGATAGCGAGGGTGAAGACGAAACCGAACTCGAGGAGGGCGACGAAGGTTTCACCGACAGCGACAGCAATACTGCTGCCACAGTCGCCGCCACTCAGCCTCTTCCTCCGGCACCTGTGGTTCGGCCCCATGGTAAGAAATATTTTTTGGACAAATTGCATATGAGACACACGCTGATTTCGTACACTATCGTCTAGCCAAATGGCGACATATTCCAAACTTCATGCGCCTCACCCAGTGCCCTGCGCCAGTCCAGCTCTTGTTGGTCTCACAGCAGCTGAATAACGAAGCCAAGAACTGGTTCTACGACGTAGCCACCTTACGTATCGATGCTACAGGCAGCTTCGCCCATACGTCATTCTTCGAAGAAGCATTCAGCCAGATGTAGGTATCGCTGTATGAATCGTATGTAAAACACACGCTGACCTGTTGCATTAAAATTAGCACCGACGCAGCGTTCTCTCCCATGGGTTAGTAATGTCCCTGTATGGACTGCAAGTGAAACATGTACTGACTTTATACATCTGCCTGTAGAAAACATCCGCAAGGTTGACATCACCTTCGTTTGGGATTCGACTTGGATCCGCGCGGACACTACTGGGTCTGTCGAAGCCATTTTCCCCGCCCTTCTTCGTCAGCGGTCAAAGTTCGTACACCAGATCCTGCTACAAGCGCCCGATTTGCGGGAGGTCACCATTCACTGGCAAGTAAACTCCACGTGCGATTTGTCTTCGGAAACATCACTGACCTGACATCCCTCAGGCATGACTCTGCCCAAGACGACGAGAGCACTAACCTGATGCTTGACAACCTTGAGCCATTCCATACGCTTCCTGCTACCGTCAAGGTCGTTGAGCACTATATTGTTGCGGATGCAACGCCTAGGAAACGCAGCGTCGCTGGCAAGCGTCGTGTTGAGTTCCAGAACATCCTCGACATGGGTCTTGATCGTCTCTTCTAAAATTCCCTATGGCGTTTTGCATCGTTGTGTGGTGAGACGTCTATATCATCTTCGCGTTTGTAAGACGGGCAGTTGTACGCCGACGTAACCGGGGTTTACCTTCCTCTTCCATGGGGTCTCGCCTAAACAAGCCGGAACTTCGCGTCCTAGTGCCTCAACTACATGCGTGGCATTACCTTTTGTGAGCACTACACACCAATCTGGGATACCGAGCGCACAAATGCCAGCGGTTCCGCGGTTATGATCGGCCAGCAGCAGGCTTCCACAATTCCAAGTTTCTCAGCCTTGTCGTTTCCACTCATGCTCCGTTCACTGACTTCCATAACTACAATTTTGACATCGCAGTCAGCAAACTCAAGTTTATAGCGAATGCGAAGTGCAACTTTTCAACTTGTATTCCCCCATGTCCTGAGTTTGAGATTATTGTTCGCTATTCTCGGACAAGCGCAAATGATCGACCTTGGGTAGGGGCCACAATGCGGGGAAGGACAGCTGATGTGCTATTTGCACTACTATCCCCAATAGCGCAAACACGAAAGGCTGTCGTGAGTGGGTGGCATGGTAGATCATTTAGTTGACGTTGGTGCTAAACAGCTCGTGGCGTCTCCCTAGGCTCTTGTATCACCATCTAGATCGCGGAAAAGGCCCGCTCGCAAAACCGACGCCAAGCCGAAAAGAGCGGAAGATGGGGTAGTGGGGTACTCATGTTCCTGAAAGGCTTATAGGCATCCAGTAAAGCCACGTGTGATAGGCCTCCAAGGGGCCGAAGTCTAATGTCAAGGGGCAATAGAACACTAAAGGTTTATTTAAACACCCTGTAGGGCCCTCCAGGTTCACTCTCTGCAATCGTTCCGTCTCCTGATATTGAGCAATTCTCCAAAGGTTTTTCAAGTCATAAACACCTTTCGTCATGGGTATCTACAACAAACTCGCGGATGACATTGATGAAGTAGATATTATCATAGCCGGAGGTACGATGTTCCTTATGCTCAATCATTCCCTCACTAACTTTCTTTTCCATAGGTGGGACAGCAGGATGCATTATAGCCGGTCGACTCGCTGAAGATGATCCATCTCTTTCTATTCTCGTGATTGAAGGTGGCGCAAACAACAAAGATGTCGCCAGCGTCGTCAACCCCGTCTTCTACCTACAGAACTTGCTACCTACCACGAAGACTGCTCTCTTTTACAAAGGGAATAAGTCTAAGCAACTCGCTGATCGTGAGCCTATCGTGCCATCTGGCGGTACGCTAGGCGGTGGTAGTTCCATCAACTTCATGATGTACACACGAGCACAAAGATCAGACTTTGATAGCTGGAACACACCTGGTTGGTCAGCTGAAGAGATGTGGCCGCATCTAAAAAAGCTAGAAACCTATCATGGGCCGGGAGCCAAAGAGCATCACGGTCACAGTGGGCCTATCCATGTCTCAGACGGAGGCTACCGCGCAAAAGCCGCGGAAGACGACTTCATAAGCGCAGCTGAGAAGGTCGGCTACTCCGAGATCGACGACTTGCAGAACTTGGACAATAACAATGGCATTGCGCGGTGGCAACGCTACGTCTCCCCCGAAGGCAAACGTCAGGACACTGCACACACATACCTCCACCCGAAGTTGGAGGATGAACGGTATTCCAACCTTCATGTCCTTGTTGAATCAAAAGTGGTACGCGTAGTTTTTGATGACAACAAGCGTGCGACTGGGGTTGAATATACACCAAACCCCGAGTTCCAGGCCACCATTGGCTTAAGCATGCACCCTGTCAAGCAGGTTCGCGCCCGCAAGTTGGTTGTCGTTACATGTGGTGCGTGCGGCACGCCGCCTGTACTCGAAAGATCTGGTGTGGGCGCAAAGGAAGTTCTCGAACGTGCTGGTGTTCCACTCGTGGAGGAATTACCGGGCGTAGGAAAGGACTACCAAGACCATCACCTCCTCCTATACCCATACAAGACTGCTCTTGCGCCTGATCAAACCATCGATGGTATTTTGAGCGGCCGCGTCGACGTCGCTGAGATGATGAAGAACAAAGATCCCATGCTAGGCTGGAATGGCATTGACATATCTTCCAAGCTTCGCCCTACCGAAGACGAAGTTACCTCTCTCGGACCAGAGTTCCAAGAAGCATGGAAACGTGACTTCAAGGATGCGCCCAACCGTCCATTAATGCTGTGTGGTCTAGTATCATGCTTCCTAGGGGATCCAGCGAGCATACCAGCAGGCCAGTATGTCACAGCAGGTAATTACACCGCATACCCCTACTCGCGAGGACACATGCACATCACTGGCCCCAAACACGACGACGCACTCGACTTCGACGTTGGTTTCTTCAACGACAAGGATGATATTGATCTCAAGAAGCAAATTTGGGCGTACAAGAAGCAGCGTGAGATCTTGCGACGGACGAAGTTCTACCGCGGAGAGCTGGCTGCGGGTCATCCGAAGTTTGCCTCTGATTCCGCTGTTGCAATACAGGAGGATGTCAGTGGTCCTCTGGAGGATGTCAAAGACCTTGTCTACAGCAAAGAAGACGATGCTGCTATTGAACAATGGCTACGTGAGAATGTCAATACCACATGGCACTCTCTCGGCACATGCAAGATGGCACCAAGAGAAAAGGACGGTGTCGTCGATGGATCTCTGAACGTGCATGGTGTCAAGGGCTTGAAGATTGCGGACCTGAGCATTCCTCCAGAGAACGTTGGTGGAAACACTAACAATACGGCACTAGTTATTGGTGAGAAGGCGGCAGATATTATCATCGCCGAATTGAGGGGTGGTGCTGGCACGCCATAGTCTCGAGAGAACCTTTTGATATGTATTTAGCGATAATGAAGTTACAAACATTATGCATTTCATAAATCGTGAATCGGATCTTCCTAATCAATCTGGACATATTGTGCCAAAAACAAAAGGCGTTTGGGTTGAGTGGCCTGGCTGCGCTATCAGAACTACCTTAGATGATGTCGAGGACTTTCTAGTACGCGAGAGCCGTCAAACTTTAGTGCGGTACTAGTCATACGAAACAGACAACCTTGAATAGAACAATCATATATGTCTTACGAGATGAAGTGTCAAATTTCGAGATGCTACGTACATAGGCATTAACCTATAGCTTGTACCTGAACCGTCTATTCTCGCGATCTGTCAAATCGAGGAATTCCTCATTCTCCATATGTCTACCGTCATCCTCCTTGTCTCTCTTCTTATTCTCCCACATGTAATACGCTCTCAGTACCAATGCCATAGCCGCAGCGAACGCACAAGTAACAACGATAGTAATCTTTGCTGGTACAAAATTCGGTGCATCGTCTTGCCTGAAGGTCAGTGGCCCGATAATATTTCCCAGACAGAATGACATGAGCAATATAGCGTTCATGGTAACCTTCTTTGTGTGACCGGCAATATTGGCTGAGACCCAGGAGTAGAGGAGCGGTAAGCTAGCGCCAATGCAGTTGGTAAGATAGTTTCCAATGAGTTTTCCAGCTTTGGATTCACCTGGGAGGAAGGCCATGAGGCATCCACCAAGCGCGCCGGGTACCAGCAAAGAAACGACGTTTAGTGCGCGTTGGTTAAAACGGCCAGCAAGGTATGTGGCGATGAGAATTGAGATGATACTAACAGCACCGGATGGCAACTGCAGTAATGCTGTGGTCTTGGGATTGAAGCCAAATGACTTGATGAGCGTGGCTTGGTAGGAAGACACTGCACCGTTAGGTACATTAGACGATATCGTGATGATCGATAGCATCCACGTCTGCGGGTCTTTGAAACAATCGATGACTTGGTGGAACTTGAAGTGCGTGTTCTCTATACCCGTTTGGTTCTCGCGAAGACGTTCGATAGCCCATACCTTCTCCGCTGGGGTGAGGCGGGAACTCATGGGGTTATCGGGAAGTAACAACACCACTGTGTGAATTAGTGTCGTATCAAAGTCGAAAAGTAGTAGTTCACATACCAGTGATACCAACAGTAACGGTGATTAGACCTACTACAAGGAACATGATCTGCCAACTAGTAAAGGTGTCACTGTCGTAGTGCTGGAACCCGAAACTGATCAAGCTTCCGATCATTGTTCCTGTCCCGACACCGAGATACCAGATGCCTAGAGAAGACAAAATCAGTATATGCCTTCACATGCATCTCGTACACGTGCAACTTACCGGTGCGGAGAGGTTGTTCGTTCTTTTTGTACCACATGGAAGTTATCAATATTAGACTGGGGGCAACAGCCGATTCGAAGCAGCCTAATAGAACGCGCGTAGCTACTAGAGCGCCATAGTTCTTGCACACACATGTGAGTGCAGTGACGAGACCCCAGAGAATGACGGCTGCGCCAAGGTACTTTGCTGTAGGGAGGCGCTGCATGCCGTAGCCATGTGGGAATTCGAGTGCGAGGTATGATACATAGAAGAAGAGTGCGAGATTCGAAAACTGCGACGTGCTTATGTTTGCATCCTCGTATAGACCCATCACCGCAGCGTAGTTTACTAGTGGGAACCCGTCAGTACGTTTGATTGAACACAGACGACGCAAGATTGTAGAGCTAACATACCAAGTGTTTTGTCCAAATACTGTAAACAGTAGCAGCACCACATCAACGGCATGATCATCCAGTCGATCTTTCGCACAAGCCTCCGCTCATCCTCAGGCGTGAGAACTCCCACATCGTGTGCCGATTTGAGGAACTTAAGCGCTTCATCGCCGTTCTTGGATGGCTCCTCGACGACACCAATTTCAATGTCTGAATGCGGTGGCGATGGAGAAGTGTTGCCAGACTTCGATTCGTGAACTACCTCTTTCTCCGGAACGCTCATTTTGCTGGGTCGGGAACAAAGATGGATAGTAGAAGTTTCCTGGATCGCTGGCTATGTATAACGCGAGGCGATATGATATATACCACCGTTCTAAAGCCTTACCATTCCGGCATCTGTATTGCCGTGTCACCTCTCACACGCATGCCGACCTCGCAGCCGGCATGTAGCATTACCTATCGAGGCATATTCATCGAAGATCACTCCCACTTTGTTAACACGAGCCAAACATCGTTCTTCCGACCAGCATCCCTTATCATGACCCCTGTCTGGGCAAGCCGATGAACGCGCCAAAGACCCCAGATCTGTGACCTTCATCGAAGCGGGCATAGTGAGATCTTTCTTTCCGAAGAACAGCCAAGAGTGCAGTGTGCGATAGCAGATTGATAATGTGTAGACATGATGATGTCAGTGGAGATAGGAATGTGGTTGATAACGTTGTCCATTCGCTTGCCGGGCGCTAGGTGGGGTTAGGAAGGTGGTGTGTTGGACCCTGAGGAGGGGTAGTCAACGTTGTGGGCAACTGTATGCTTAGTAACTGCAAAAGGTAATGAAGAATGCTCGGAAATACGCACTGTCGACCGGGATGCTATGCAAGAACGTGTTTACCTTGATCGCTTTCCCCATTGTTGAACTTCTACGGTCCATCATGGCCGGCATAGAAGACATAACGCACCTTGGGTCACGAGAGTCAATAATTGTTTTCACGACTAAAACATTTCCGTATGAAACCCTGCCTTGGAAATTGCCACCAACACTGAATAATAGAGTTATGACTAGGGTAGCATCTGCAAGTGATGCTGTACGATCAAAAGTTTGGGTATCGATTTTCCCTCGACAATCTGTTGCCATATCCAAACGCCAAGTGAACAGACGATTAGACAAGGACACTATCCAGCAACCCTTCGATCCAACCCTCCCAACTTCCCCTCTTTAGACCTGCTACCCCCTTCACCACGTGGCCCTCGTTCTTATCAACTTCTTTTTGTAACCCTTCTTTCGCACCTTCGCCCTGCGCTTCCCACCACTCTGCCTCGGCCCTATCTTTCGCTCTCTTGACAACTCTCTCCTCATCCTCGACACGGTACAGATCGCATTTGTTGCACTCACCGCAAGGCTGCCCAGGTCTCTCACGAAAATGTCCGCAAAAGTGTTGATATCCCTCGTTCGCAAGACCTTGTCGGCAGATGTAGCACATGCTATACCCGCACAGACAGACAAGCTTGTTACAGCCTTCAGACTTGACGAAGCCTAGGTTGCACTGAGGACAGGTGCGTTTTACGGCGTCTGTGGTAGCGCGTTCGAGTGTGAGACGAAGAGATGTGAGCTGGGAGGAAAAACATGTGTGAGGGTCGTGCCAGGGAAGGCTACACGAGAGGCAGGATGCACGGCCGCAGCTCGGAGAGAGACATTGAAATCGAAGACCACGACGCTTTAGGTGGACACGTCTAAGGGCGGACCGGAAGGGTGCGATGACAGGCAAGCGAAATGTAATGGTGACGAAGGTATAGATGAGTATGAGGGCGAAAAGAATAGCCCGTGTAGCTTGGAAACAGAGCAATTCGAAGAAGGGGACGGATGCTAAGGAAGCAAGTACAAGTGGGCGAGCTTTGAAACGGAGGCTGGCGAAGAGATTGGTATCTGGAAGAGCAAGGTCATCCAATTCAGCGTACGAGCAGAAAGGACATTGCACAAGTGGAAGCTGAGATCTTGTAAGCGCATCGCTAGCGAAGCGCTCGTTAAGTTTGGTGAGGTTATCCTTTCCATCTTGCTCTTCCAAGAGCGCGCGTCTGACAAAGCTGAGGGGAATGCAGCCATGACACTCTTCGGATCCACCTGTCATAGGCGCTATGCATTTCAGGGTACACAGATCAGTGTTGATGTTGCGCGCCCAGCCCTGATCGTAGAGTGCAGCGTTGATGGCATGTCTTATGCAACGGAAGCAGATGTAGTGGCCGTCGATGTCACATGTCGACATTTGCTGGAGCGTATTGGGAATGAAGCAGCATTCGCAATCGTACATCTCACCCTCTCGCTCAGCCTCCTCTTCGTTCCATTGCATGGCCAAGTCGAAATCCTGCCGTAATTGCGCTTTCCGGTGCTTCTCATGTTCCGGCACTATGAGAGCATTATAAAGCTCCTGGTTCAATTCGTCGCTCCTTGTCTTTACAAGAAGTGGCATGGGTGGGCGGTTCAGCCTCTCGTCGGCGGGAGTCCATATGACCAACGGATGGTCATTCGCGGTCGGCGCCTTCCGTCGCATTAAAAAGTTGGTAATACTGGACCTCCAACTCCTAGTCGAAAGTTCCAGCAGCGTGGGTCGTGCATGTGTATAGCTGTAATTATACTCGGCTAGGACAGCCTTGATAGTCGAGTGGCTCAGGCCTTTGAATTCCTGGTATAGTGCTTCTTTGGCAGCGTCCTTGTATCTTCGTGACCGGAACTTGTCTTCTACCGCAAGCGGTATGCCTCGGGTGTCCTTTGGAGCATCTTCTTTCCGATATTTGTATTTTTGCGCCGTCTCCCGCTGCTCTTCCTGCTCGGCTGGCATCCTGTACCGCCCTCGCACATATTTGTCGCCATGCTTCAGAAGAGTTTCGGTAACTACCTGTAGCCTACTCTCTTCACTAAAGGTAGACAGCATCTCTCGAAAGACCTCGGGTTGGATGTCTGGGAAGATGTCCGTGAGCGCTTGCAGGGCGGCATTGAGGTCGCGAAGGTCAGGCTCATCGAGGCCATGGCTATCGATCGAAGGCGGAGGCTGGATCGCGGGCTGCGTGTTTGTGGAGGCGCGTCGCAACTTAGGCGGCCGCACAAGGGAGGCGAAGACGGTCGACATTGGATAGGGAGCGCCTAACGCTGCGGCGAAGGATGTTTGCCAAGCATATGAAAACGGGCAGCGAAGAGACGTGTGTGGAAATTAACTAGACATTACAAGTACTAAGGGAGGGCAAGAAGTGTAAAAGTAAAGCATGAAGCCGTCGGGTGGTCGTGTGCAACCCGGAGAGTTGAAGGATGCTTCCAAGCCCGAGAGACATGACGCGTAACCGCCGTATCAGTCCAGGCCCTGCCAATCATCATCGCCTGCGCACGTGAGACCTGCATCTCTCATCACGAACACCACTGGTACACTCTTCCACACTGGGTTTCGTCGCCTCCAGTGAAATCTGGTTGCATATTCCACATGTGCATTGCTTCGCTGACACGCAAGTCGAACTGTGCTTCCGACGTGTGGGCTAATCTTGGTTTTCCCATGTTTGGATCCGACATGCTACGTGCACCTTCTTCACTCTCACTCAGCCAATCCGAATAGTCTTGGCAATCTACATGTCAGGCTGTACAAGCATTGCCTGATATTGTTGGCTCAACTGATATGCGCATCAACTGCATGCCCCGCTCTTCTATGCTCTTCAGCTGCCGCATAAGCTCGTGACAGGACAACGAACAACCCAGAACATGTCGCAGCCTCTGCTTCAGCAACATGTTGCCAGATCAAACATGGACGATGCTACCAGAACACCAGGAAAATCCAAGAACGCGAAGTCAGTTCCTGAGGTTACCGCAACGATGAAAAGCCGGCGTAACGGTACGCGGTAGGTATTGCGTCGACGGCGACAATTGTATATATGTGTACGGATATCTAATAAGAATTCAGCCATCGTGATGATAAGAAAGCAGCAGCAGCGATCCCTGTAGCATCAAGCGTATTGAGCATAAACCATCAAGCCCAAATGCTGGGTGCGAATAACGTGCCTCGGCCTGTAACAGCAGAACCTGTTGTTTCTAACAGTGACAACGCTCTCCAGCCGAAGAAACGTAAGCCGCGTTCCACACAGGCGTAAGTAGACATTACCATACTCCATGAACTCAAGCTGACTTCATTCGTAGCGCACGGGCAAGAAGAGAAGCAGGAACTGCAACCGTAAAGACCCCTTCGATAGAGACGACACCACCGACGACATCGCCATTGGTAACATCATCAGTCAAGTCAGCACTTCCGCAATCGACTCAAGGCGAAGAAGTCTCGCCGAATTCAACGTCAACCCAACCAACACGTCCCTTACCTAAGGCGCCTTCTTGGAAAACATCATGGATGTTTCGGGACACTACCGGGTCGCCTCTGCGAACAATAGAAGCAAAATCGTTGGAGCCAGACAGTATCCAGGTATCTTCCGAGGGTGGCTTCGAGACCTTGTGCAGTTATAATTGGCAGAACAATGGAGCAATCTACGTTCCTGGCGCGCCTCCCAGATGGAGCCCTCCTGCTTTACCGACCACTCTGACTCAGGATACCGGGCGACAATTCATCGATCAAAACGCTTCTCGCGTGCCCAAGTTTCCTTTTGAGCCTGCCTTCGCCGCCCTTGCTGTTATGAAACCAAATGCCCTATTAGATGAAGTCGACATCATTGTCAACCGCAACAGTTTGCGCAAACTTCTCGACTTCTCAGCTGGGAAGAAGCTGGATGCGTTCTGTATGGGTTTACATATGATCGACAAAACACTTGTAATCAGTCGCAAAGAGAGGAATGCTCAGCAAATGATCCACGGCGCATCCAACGCAGGCTATGGACATAATTTCGAGAAGACCTTTACAAAGCCTGATCATGGGATGGGAAACTCCAGTAGTCATCATAGGGTCATCCGGTACCACATTGGCCCTCTGAACTGTGTCGTTCGATTCGAAGTTGACGCATATTATGAAGATCCGGACACCGCCCATAGTCCAGAGCCTACACGTCCTTCCAAAGAATCCGTTGACACTATTACCGCTGCTATGGCGCAATTGGACATGGCAACCCTGCCGCCAACCCAATCCAAGAGTAGGAAAGCTCCTGCCGATAAGTCTACTAGAGTTGTCGAGAAAGGGGTTTCCGTCGATCCTTCGAAGCTTGCTGAAATTAAAGCTAAAAAGTTCGCACGTCTTAATGAAGCACTACCGCAGCTTTGGTTCGGCCGCACACCCTATTTCATGAATGGCAACCACAACAAAGGCGAGGTAC